TCTACAAATGCATCTCTACATTTCATGATTGTTTGTTGTTACAAAAAGATATTTCTGTTTTTCATGATTGGTGTATGCATCATAAATGTCATTACATTTCTTTTTCTGCAAAAAAGGTTCCTTTCTCAGAACAGTATTTATATTATATTCCTTAGGTGGTGTCTCTCTTGGAAACTCCATGATTACTGATTTGGGGATGGTCTCATAAGAAGTGTACCTTTGAGGATCAATATTCATACATGATCAATGTGGCATACATAACTTTTTTCATTAAAGGTCTGAAGTCAGACATTATAAGTGTTTATGCAATAAAAATATTGTATTTGTTTGGAGTATTTTTTGTTAGGAAGTGAATACGGTGATTTAACTTGGTCTCCTTTTTACAAGACCCATTCAAATGATTTAGAAATGATTCAGAGAAAAGCTACCAAATACCTAATGTTTAAATCTGGTCTTAATTCACAGTGTATTCCGCAGTCCTAGACTTAATATGGACTTCTTGGTCACTCATCATTGTGCTTTTTCGCTATTCGGATGGAAAATTTTAAATGGTTTTATTATGTAACAACAATGTCAAGCAACACTGCCATACTGTGCCTACAGGATCGAGAGAAAAAAAAGAAGAGGAGGACAGTTCTACACAGAACGCGGTATCTTAAACTACTGCCAAAATAAGAGACCACATTTATCAACGGTGAGCCATAAAAAATAACCATTCAAAAGAAGGGATTCTATTTTGTTTGTTTATTAGAGAAGAAAATTAAATTTTGATTGTAAGAGAATTATTTTTTAATTAATTTTTTTATGTAAAAAAGGAAATTTTTAGTTTTAAATTTATTTGTGATGTAAAAACAACTTCGAATCTTTATGCCAACAACCATAGACCGATAATCCCATCACCACTAATACAAACATCACAATTATAATTCAACTGTCATCAAAAGTTACATTTTAAATTTACAAAAAATAAGTTATAAGATGTTTATATAAAAAAAGAAATTTTGCTAATTTATTTAAATTTAATACTTTATAATATTACTAATTATTATCATAAGGGTTTATGTTTATTCGGAGATCGTGGATGCGGTCTGGTGTGGCGTAGGTTTTAGAAAAACATTTTCTTTCTTGTGCCAACGTTTCGATCTTTATTGACATCATCTTCAGGGCCTGGGATTTATAAACATTGTTTAAATTTTCAAATAGACGTAGGATGTTTATAAATCCCAGGCTCTGAAGATGATCTCAATAAAGATTGAAACGTTAACACGATAAAGAAAATGTTTTTCTAAAACCTACGTCACACCAGACCGCATCTCATCATCTCCGAATAATCATTGACTAACGGTCACTTAACACCACACATAAGGGTTTATATTGTTCATGTACAATTTATCTCAATAATAAACCGATGGTTTAGTGATAATTCATTTCAATATTTGTTCTTTTTTTCTAAATCAAAAACTTCATAAATAACTTCAAAATAAAAAATTCATTAACTTTATTTATTTTTGGGGAAAGTGTTAATAAATAAAATTAAGAAACAACTACAGTTTTATTGTTACTCCAGAAATTCTATCAGCCTACAGTTACCTGCCTGTATTATGTCAGCCAGCAAAAGTGCTATACAGAATATTCAAAACTTTAGCCTGACTATTTGCTTTGTGAAATTATTAAAAGAACTTTCGATCTCAGCAGACAAAACAAGAACGTGGTTTTCTGTTAGATTCGAGGCCATAGTGGAATAAAGAGTAATGACACAGTGAACAAATTGGCCAAGCATGCTACTCAATTCGGCAGCATTCAAGATTTGAAGCTTCCACAACTTGATGCGCTGAAGTTATTCAATAAACTCTGGATCAAAAAGTGGCAATATATTTATGGTACAGATGAAAAGGGGTCTTTCTAAAGGGCCTTATTCCTAAATGTTAAAACTCCCTGGATTTTACATGTAGATGGTAGTAAGGGATTCTTTTCCGTAATGACACAAATCCAAACGAGTCATGGAATAAGCAGTGCCTTACCTTTATAAAATAAAACAGAAACAATCCCCCAATTGTTCCACTTGCAATGTACTCAAAGATTTAAAGCATTTACTTTTCGATTGCGAGGAATACCACAAAATCTGAAAAACTTTCCTAGCAGAAATTTCTGCATGTAACCTCAACAATACCTTCAAACTTGAAACAATGATAGCTTCAGAAAACTTATTGATTTACAAATTGATATTTAAATTAATAAAAAATGTAATTTAAATATATAAAGTTAGAAGTAACTATAGCACATCCGAAGTGGGCTGTCGTGCTTCCCTGAGGGGTCCATGGTGTTGGGGGCGCTGACAGGTCAGTAGGTCGGAGCAGTTGTTAGTTAGTGGTGCACATCTTTTACAATGGCAAGATATTAAAGAAATAAAGCCAAAAAAAATATATTGCCATAAATCAGAGCTATCTAATCGAAGTATGTTGTAATGTTTAAATGTACAAACGCATTTTGGCTTAAACCATGTCTCTGACCAGGCGACTATATTAATATTATTTTGAAAAAGGAATATTTCTAAACTTCCCTTATTTGCTACAGCTGAACGAGCGTTTCATTGTAATATTTTTAGATTTTCTAGCATATTTATATTAATGCTAAGCTTTTAACCTGGGTCTTTAATCATGTTTTTAATATCCTCTTCTTGTTGTGTGGGAATTTTGTTCCCTACTGCATTTAATATGGAAATTACTATCTCACAAATTTTAGACTCATCTAAAGCATTGTTACTAGGAGTTACAAGAATAGCAACACTTTATGTGAGTGAGTATTAAATACTCGGTTCAAAATTTATATTTACATCTGTATTGTATTTTTTCCAATCAATACATGTTTTGTAATTCACCCAGGTCCTGAAGATGACCTGAATAAACATTGAAATGTAGGAAAAAAAAATGAAAAGGTATTTTTCATGACCATCTCATTCTTGAATCCAACAAATAAATTAACTTTATCAATTTTATTTTATCTTTTATTTTTCAGATGGATAATTTCAATTAATTTACCAATTGACATAGGGTCAATTGACCTTGATATCCCCGCTTGGTATTTTTTTTAACTTTCTATGCAAATTCACTAGTTTTGTGGTCCGCTTGACCAATTAATATCTTACAATTAATTAAAGTTTTCAGTTGAGATAAAAAAAGTCAATGGCACGAGCAGGATTCGAACCCACGATCTTCCGCTTGATACGCTGCTGCTCTACCACTTGAGCTATTGTGACCTCGATCCACTGGGACAAGTGGAAGAGCAGCGGCGTATCAAGCCGAAGATCGTGGGTTTGAACCCGCTCGTGCCATTGACTTTTTTATCTCAACTGAAAACCTTGATTAATTTCACTGCAAATTTGAAAAGGACCAAGATCTGTTATATGATGACCATGTTAGACATTCATTAATTTAATTTTTAACTGTGGACTATTATTTTAAACTGACTCAGTTCTAAGATCGAAGGATCTTTTAAAGTGATAATTCCCAAATCCATAGCAATGATGTCAGATTAATTATTACGCTAGAGAAAGAAAAATAATTTCTTTGCAGATTTAGACAAAAATAAATAATGATCAAAATTTAATTGAAATGGTTTTGAGTAAACGATTCTACTTACCACTCTCCTAAATAATGTTGGTGTTAATTGTTCAAAGTCTAATACTCAACTGTACCTATCCTTGCTGGTTTTGTCGGTGAGACACAGACCCGGCAGAGAAGATGGCAATAAGCCAAAACACAATGACAGACCAAAATAATCAGATGTGAACAAACAACAATTAAAATGAGGCAAAAAAAAGTTGAAAAAAATTTATCAGCATACTGCTGACAACACTGTTCTTTTTCAGTCAATAAATCTATTGTAAATAAAATTATTGTGTTGAACTATTCAATTTATTTATTTGAGGCTCTGTAACTAAATGCTACGCATAATTTATTCAGTTTTTTCAACATTTTGGGTCTGTGTATCCTTGTTTTGTCAATGCGTCACGTTTCTGCAATTCACCATCTTCAGACCCGGCAGAGAAGACGGTGACAAGCCAAAACACAATGACAAACCAAATGGTGAGGCTAGACAGACCAAAATATCATAAATGACAAACAAAAGATTCTTCACCCAACAGATGCTGTCAGTGTTACACAGTGTTAAACTGAGACAAAAACAATTGAGAAACATCTGTCAGTACACTGCTGATAACACTGTTTTTTCTTTCATCATTAAATCAGTTGTGAATAAAACTGTTGTGTTGAAATATTCGATTTTTATTCGAGGTTCTTTATCTAATGTAAATATGGTATCTACGGTTGATTCGCTTGCGAAAGCGATTTTTTTAAAAGTTTAGTTTAGATCGATGAATCCTCCTAGAAACTAAATAGTCAAATTGTTTAATTTTGGTGCGTCATCGTGAATTTTGCCTGAGGCTATAATGGTTGAACTGTGCATCGAAGTGCAAGCGACTTTTCAATCAGCACGACTCATCCCAAGAACAAAATCTTCCTAATTCAACAGTGGCCTAGGATCGGGCCAATCTGACCAAATATGGATAAAAGAGAAATACACTTGGAAAGGTTCCGCAACCTTAGCCCCGAAACGCCTTGCGTTTAGACGGGTCCCGTATCGCTTTCGTTGGAAAATAATTCAAATAAAAACCCTCATTTACCCGTGATAGTACTTTTATAAAGAAACGTTTCCGAGGGAAATGGCTCGGCTGCGTACTACCATTGCGGGACTTATCGGTTTTCAAAATGAGTGGGGAAAACGTGAAGATTTATTTGTGTAAATATTTTGACAGGTGAAGAGTAAATGAATTCTTATCAAACGAGAGGGAGAAAATGCAAATAGAAGACAAATCGGGATCGAGTCGGCGAAGAGCTGCAGACTATTGTGGCGGTCGTCCTGGGGGACGGTCGAAAAATAAAGTAGTCGAAAGTCGGGTCGGTGAATGTGAAGAATAAAAAAAGTTGAAATTATAATTTTACCTTAAAATATCCACCCTGGTAAAGCGTCTCCGGGGGTCCGAATATCGCGACTTCCCATTCGAAGAGTGTGTCTTCGTGGAGCAATTTGACGCGAAATCCCTCGACTGGCTCTTCTTGCAGGCTCTTGTATTCTAGTGCTAGTGTTCTCGCCGCACTGCCCGTCGGTTTTTGGGTCATAATAAACGAGAATCTGTTGAAAACGACTCCAGGTAGAAACTGTGAAAAAAACAATGGACTCAACCGAAATAGTGAACTAATAAAAATCACGGTGACGTCATGCGCCTACAGTTACAGAGAGGAGCGTTTTATATAATTCCGTTTTTCATAATTCGTAAGGGCGAGAATCGGCTTTGGCCGAGGGAGAAAAAGTCACACGTCGAAGGAAGGCCTAGACACGAGAGGCGAGTTTTGTCCCAAATCCAATTTTGAAGAAAGTCCCTCGGACGAGAGAGCGGAGTTGACAATGTATACTCTGAATCAGCTGGCGATTTCAGCCAAGGGGAGAGAAGAGACCGCAGCTGCGCACTCCCTCACTACGCACCTTTCTAATCACAATTCTCTGGAATAACCAAACCCCCCCACCATAAATTTATACAAGTTATATATATTATAAACAATATTAGTTATAGCGTTACTTATACAGAAAAATGCACTCGGCTTATAAGATGTCGATTAAGCACAATTGCCTTTTTCTCCCCCTTAACCCGAGGTGACTTAATGATGGACCGAGGTAATTTAGATTAGATTCTGTGTACGCTTTCTCGAATGCATATCGGCGGAGCTACTACTTTTTAAATAAACGTTTTTAAAAAGGAAGATCTCGAATAATTATCTATAATTGGTGCAGTAGGTAGGACGGCAAAAGTGTTCAAGAGAATATTGAAACCAACTGTATCAACGGTTAATTTGTCGTCTCGAAATTCATCAACCTATTTGTACTTCAGTCTAAGGAAGAAAGATCTAGAATTGGACATGGTACACTTTGTAATCGTGCTGTGAGTAAATATTAATTTATAGGCGAAATATTATAATAATTATAATAATATATTAATAAAAACTCGCAAAGTTGTAATAATAAAAATTTAAAAATTCGTCAGATTTGAAACTAATACTAGATGCTGTACCAACTTATAACGGTAATCCTAAAACTTTGGCGCAATTTATTATAAAAGTGGAAGAAATAAACACTATTGAGCAATGTACAAAATGTTTCTACTTTACAGCGACAATTAGTGTCCCTACACATAAGAAACAAATTGACAGACAAAGCTGTAGACAAATACTACCTCATTTATCTCTCCTAACATAGCATTCAAACACTTTAAAGACAACATAAGGAACGACCCATTTAGTATTACTATTGCACACACGACATCAATAGGAAAATTTAGCACAATTGTATCTTACGACGAATTGTTTAATATAGACAATTTAAAATTAAAGTTTCAATTATTGGAATTTCACGACCGATTTGATATGTTGATACGTTTACATACTCTTAAAAAGCTCAATGCTCAAATTGATTTTAAAGAAAATAAATTAATTACGCCTGATACTGATATACAAATCTTTTACCTTGATACCCCTCAGAAAACACCAAAAATGTAACAAATACAAGCAAAAAGTTAACAAGTAATAAAAGTTCCAATAAAAAATGTTCAATCTGGATATGCAATTATTCCCCACATCTTATCTAATGACTTAGAAATTAATGAGTGTCTCGTAAAAGTGGAGAACCACCGAGCCTTATGCATTATAAACAACAAGAGCGATTCACATAAACGTGTACAATTACAGAACCCCTTAAACATGAAACCAGTCAGCCATGAAGAAATAATAGTATTATCAAATCAAAGAAATAAAGAACCAAACACCACATTGTCTTGGCAAAAATCAGGACAGATCACATGAATACGGAAGAAAAACTAGCTATAGAACAATTGATAAAAGAATTTAGAGACATATTTCATCAAGAAGGCACACCTCTAACATTCACGAATGACATAAAACATGTAATAAGAACGAAAGACGAGGTACCAATCTACACTAAATCCTATAAATATCCTGAGATATATAAAAACAAAGTTAAACGACAAATTGACGAAATGTTAGAACATAACATAATACAGCCATCTAGCTCCCCATGGAATTCACTGATATGGATCATACAAAAAAAAAAGAGACGTCTCTGGAAAAGAGAAGTTCCGTCTTGTGGTAGACTACAGAAAATTAAACGATAAACCATAGATGATAAGTACCCACTTTCAAATATCACAGACTTATTTGATAAGCTAGGGAGATGTCAATATTTCTCTGCGATAGATTTGGCCAGTGGCTTTCATCAGTTAGAGTTGAGTCCTGAGAGTATCCCTAAAACAGCATTCAATGTAGAACGGGGACGTAAAGAGTTGCTAAGAATGTCGTTTGGGCTAAAAAATTCGCCACCCACGTTCCAATGGGTTGTTATGGACAATATCCTCCGTGATATTACAAATTGCATGGTGTACCTTGACGATATAATTATCTTCAGTGCTAGCCTCCAAGAACACATTGCTAAATTAAAAGAAGTATACCGTCAGTGAAGGAAATACAATTTCAAAATCCAACTGGATAAAACAGAGTTCCTAAAAAGAGAGATTGGATATTTAGGGCATATCATAACACCTAACGGCATAAAACCGAATAATGAAAAAATACAAGTAATACAAAATTACCCAATCCCAAAAACAACTAAGCAAATTAAAAGATTTTTAGGGTATTACAGAAAATTTATTCCTAAATTTGCTAAGTTAACGAAACCTTTGACAAAACGATTGAAAAAGAATTCTTCCATTGACATTAATGATCCAGACTATAAAAACTGTTTTGACTTGTGTAAAAACATGCTAATTAATGGACCCATTTTACAATTTCCATTCTTTGCTAAAGAATTTATACTGACCACGGACGCTAGCAACTTTGCAATAGGTGCCGTACTTAGTCAAAAAACAAACTGATCCGACCTTCCTATATCCTTCGCAAGTAGAACACTGAATAACACGGAAACTAAACTTTCGACAATAGAAAAGGAACTTCTAGCCATAGTATGGGCTATGAAATATTTCAGATCCTATCTCTTTGGACGACGATTCAAAATTTTCTACAATGGCTCTTTGCACTAAAAGAACCGAACTCTAAACTACTAAGATGGAGATTGAAATTGGAAGAATATAACTATGAAATAATTTATAAAAAAGGATCTGAAAACGTTGTAGCTGATGCCCTATCTAGAGTAGAAGTAAATGCTAATGAAACAAACGACATAGACAATTTGGATGATATGAGTATAGATGAACTGTTAGAAGAATTTTATAGTAAACACCCCGAACAAACAGTATTAGACAACAGAGTAGAATTTAACCATGCTCTTGTTATAGAACTCTCAAAGTTATACGAAATTAATTTACACTTCATATCTTCACAGCACCCTGATTCAAACGGAGTAATAGAACGCTTTCACTCTACACTAATTGAACACATTTAACTCTTAAACAATGAAGAACATTTTCAAAAGGAAACAATAAAACGTAAAGTAATGATAAATAAATGTGATATTAGCATACAACAACACTATTCACTCAGTTTCAAAAGTGAAATATTATAATAAAATAATTACAGGTCATATAAAGCAGGAATCCCTATTATCTATAAATTTAGAGTCACAATTTTTAAATGATTACATTAACAAACATAAAGATAAAGTAAAGATAATATATCGAATAATTAATGAAAACAGTTTAAAACATAAAGAAAAAATTATAGAAAAACTCAACGAAGATAGAGAAGAAATATCAGTTATCCCTGAAAATGTATACATAAAAAACAATCTAAAACAAAAAATTTGTATAAAAAGGAAAAAATAAAATCTCATAATCCTTTAAGGAAAACAGCTACAATAGAAAAGTCCCATCATAATACAAAACCGAATATTCATTTAGCTAATGTAAAGAGACCACGCAAAACGGTATCAATTAATACCAGAAATGTCGATGTTACAGAACCAGGACTTTCGCGATGTCAGCTGCCAGGCCTGCATTCCAGATAAAAGATATCTCACATAACATCGGAATTCTACCGATATCATTAGGAATATTCAACAAATAGCCTCAGTTAAAGATACTTTTAATCAATTACAAATCCTTTATCAATTATTACTAGAAATAATACAAGATATTGAAAATTCAATAACTTTTTGCAAATTAAAAACAATGCATCCATGCATAAATTATTTTCAGAGTTAAAAAGATTGGAGAACCGATTATATACTAAGTTGCCCTTAGAAGTGAAATATGAGAATATTATAGACTTTGAAAATATGTTAAAAGTCGACAGTAGAATAGAAACAAATCAAATTATCTACTTTTTATGATTATCATTATGTAGTGACAATAAATTTGAATTATATAAATTACAACCTATTCCAACAAAAGCTGGCCAAAAAATACTAACAACTATTCCAGAAAATAAATATGTTCTTAAATCCAAAAGTAATGAGATAACATATTTAACAGACGAATGTATTAAAAACAAAGTTTACCATTGTCCACAAATTCTAATATCGAATCAACAAAATCATTGCGAAAAAGAAATCATCTTACACGGAAACAATACATAGTGCGTCTACACAGAGCTTCAGATAAGCAACAACAATATTCATTCCGGAAATCAACCAATTTTTATGCGCCTTCATCACGCCAGAGAAAATCCAGATCACGCAAGCCACCATGATAGAAACAAAAATCCTGGAAGGTATATTTCTGTTAAAACCAGGCAACAGCGAAATAATATACAAAGGATACCCACTCGTCTATCGGACAACGAGCCATGGAAAACCAAGCATCAATTTCAACCTCACATTTGGACCAAAACAAATCTCCAATTTCAACATCTAGCTTTCTCCAAATTTTGTGACAAAAAATAATATTTTACCATATGTACATGTTAATTTAAGCCTATGGACATTATTCTTTTATATTTTAATCATTATTAAAACAATAATATTTATAATTAGATGCATAAAAACTAAAATTGTAAATAAAAATAAACACAAAATAAAGGTAGTAAACGACGACCCCCCAGGAGAAGCTTTATTCTAAGGGTGGAGGAGTTATATATATTATATTATAAACAATATTAGTTATACAATATTACACAGTATATATACAATATTACACAGTATATATACAATATTACACAGTATATATACAATATTACACAGTATATATACAATATTACTTGAACAGAAAAATGCACTCGGCTTATAAGATGTCGATTAAGCACAATTGCATTTTTCTCCCCCTTAACCCAAGGTGACTTAATGATGGACCGAGGGTAATTAGATTAGATTCTGTGTACACTTCTCCTGTATATCGGCGGAGCTACTACTTTTTAAATAAACGTTTTTAAAAAGGAAGATCTCGAATAATTATTTATCATTTTCATCTTTCAAAAATTCAATGTTCATCTCATCCAGACTTGATCACTTTACTGGGTCTTTCTACATTATATTGTAATCTTCAGTGAACAATTACACCAAACCTCAATAAATATGCAAAACATGTAATTTGATCCATACCGATTATCTTGGTCTTCCAAATGCCTATCCTCACTGTTGACGATGGACCTTAAGAGGAAATTTCACGAATTATGCAGAAACTAGATCAGATACAACGCTTTTCTATCTTACTGCGAAGTATGTATGATTAAGATTAAAAGGAGTTGGCCTGTTTACGACCAATATTTATTGTGCATCTCCTTTGTTGTCTAAAGCTATTCATTAATCAGATCCCTAAATTTTGTTAAGGCCTACAGTGTGTATTGTTCAGGATTTGGCTTTTCCTCTCCCAATTGTAAGCGTCTTGTGAATAGGCTTTACACCAACACGGTTGTTCCACTGGTTATGTTTCTTCTCCCTGACAATGTCTGGTTTGTTTCTGCTGCTCTGAGAATATACATGTGATTCCAGAGTCTGCAGTTTTCAGTTAAGATTTAGTAGTTCTGCTGTTAGTCAATGAAGGTTAAGGTTAGAAGGAGTTGACCTCTTTATGGCCTATTGCACCGCAGCCAATATTGGTCAATTGTACAAGCTCCAGTATTATCTAGGACTGTTCATTAAGCCTAAAGCTTTTTATCAGATCTGAAAGGGTTGTCTGTGTCCTTTTGGTCTTGGAGGAGTAAGAATCTCAGCCTGCTGAGGCCTTCGCACCGACAAAGGACTAGTTCCACTGTTTCTTCATCTTCCTGGCAATATCTGGCCTGTTTCTGCGGCTATGAGTCTCTACATATGTCTCGGGAGTCTGCAGTGTTCATTCAGCCGTCCAGGTTTAGTAGTTAAGGTTAAGGCTAGAAGGAGGTGGCCTCTTTATAACCTTAAGCAGTGTCACTAATAATTGCCTATCTTTGTTAATATGTAGAGCTGTTTGTTAAGCTTGAGGCTTTTTGTCAGGGTTCAAAGCTTACTTAAGGGTTGCCTTCATCCTTTCCTTCAGGCTTTGAAGGAGTAGAAATCAGCCTGCTTAGGCCTTCACACCAACAATGTTCCGCTATTTCTTCTTCTTCTTCTTCTTCTTCTTGGCAATAATGGTTTGTTTCTGCGACTGTGTGTATATGTATTGTTAGTACCAGAGTTAAATATTAAAAACAAACTTCATCTACCATTTATTGACTGTGTAATGATAATAAACAAGTTTGACTTTCAAATAATATCTAATACATTGAAATAATATGACAATAAATGCAATAAAAAAATTCATAGTGTTAAATTTAAATAGTTTGAAAATGTTGACATAAAATTTACTAGCAGGAACTTATCTTTGTTTGTTTAACATTCTCCTTTAAAATCGATATCAGCAAACTCACATGATCACGAAAATTGATATTCTAGAACATAAAGAATATATGTAAGTAAATATTTGAAATTTGAATAATTGTAAAATACTTACAGTATTTTTCTTTGTCATGAAGTTAGTCTGCAATAAGTTGAAATCTCTTTCAAATGATTTCATGACACCTTGTATATCATTTTTGTATTCATGAACTGGAATGCAGTCATAAGCAGACAAATTTATTTTTTTTATTTTTTCAGCTGCACAATTATGCAACTCTGTCAATTGCTTTGATTTATCATGAATTTCTTTAATAAGTCCCTTTAACAAATGGTAAATAAATTATTATAACCAATGAAGCTACTTGAATAGGTTGTTTGAATAAAATGGTTAAATTATTCAGAACAATTGACCTGGTGTCATTGCTTTATCATTGCCTGTGGAAGTGTAACATATTATATTTACAAATGCTAGGCAGAATACCAAATTTTAAAAAATATTTATTTAATAAGTATAAATTTTGATTTTAATTACTTTTGAAGTGTCATGCACCAATTAAAATTTAAGAATAATATAAAAATCACCTCTATTTCTGTTTCTATATGCACAAACTTCTTAACTTGTGTATTGAATTTGCTTGAACAAGAATTTTTTTGTAGTTGTCGTTTTTCTAATCCCTGTTTCTCTTGTACATTAGTTTTTAAGTTGTTTGTGTTGCTGATAATCTAAAACCATTGGATGATTATCAGTTATAACTATCTTATTTAATCATAAATTTTCTATTTATGGTTTTAATATTAAATATAACAAAAGCTGGGCATTTTGATAATGGACAAAATTAATTGTATTTTAGTGTTATTTATCATTATGTGATTGGAGTGCCAATTCGAGAGGAATGGACAATTGAACTGACTGGTGAATTGTTGAATAAACAGAGTAAGATACAGGGAGGTAGATTACTACTTCACTCAATTTCTAACAAGGTACAACTGTCTTAACTCACACTTACACAGAATTGGCAAGTATGGAGCCCAGCTTGCCAATATGGTGATTCGTCAATCACACATCCTTCAAATGTAGTATATGTCTCAAGGAAAGCCAGACAATGTAGTTGGGAGTGACAAAGCCAGACAATATTATTGTATTAGAAAACTTCTGTCAGGTAAATTATTATATAAAGGATAACCTGAGCACAAAAAAGAAGCAAATTGTTTAAGCAGTGGAGCCCATCCATATATAATCTGATGAGCGATTACAGATTGAAATCCAGATCACTGCAAAACCATTATTTTCAATTACATACCAGTTTGCAGATAATATATGTAGGTACTCCTTTTTGCTCTTTTACATTTTTATTATATTTTAATATTTTATAAGTAATTGTTGTTTAGATTAGGCTAAATAAACAGTTTATTAAAAATTAAATGATTAACAAATAGAATAATAATACAAATTTGTAGATATTAAAAAGCCAGAACTGGGAGATTTACTCATTTTTGCTCTTTTACGTTTTTATTGTATTTTATATGTAATTGTTTAGATTAGGTTAAATAAACAGTTTATAAAAAAGAAAAGAATAACGAATGGCATAAGCATACATACTCAATATCAACATGTTGACTTTTTCCAAATTAGTTTTTCTGTATATACAGGAAATAAATTTAAACCCGATAATTCGGGATCGGGTTTGTATGTGAAATAAAATAGAAAATATGTGCACATACAGGGTGACTGGTGATAAGTGTCAAAAATTTCAGGAGGTGTTTCTATTCACCATATGCAACAAAAAACTTCCTATAAACCCCTGTTCAAATCTCAATGGTAAAGAAGTAATTTAAGGTTTTGGGCGTTTTTAAATTTTTCAACTAGGTCCACCAAATAACTTATAAACTTCAACATTTACTACTAAATACTATAAAACCACCTGAAAGAATGTTAAATTTCCACGTTGAGACGTTCCAGCAGATTGCATGTTCCAACGACTTCATTCTTGCAGTCGTGGCACTCTCAACACGACACGCAAGAATGGCACAATTACACAGAAGACAAACACTTTGAGCCCTGAAGATGATCTCAATAAAGATCGAAACGTTGGCACGATAAAGAAAATATTTTTCTGAAACCTATATCACACCAGACCGCATCTCACGATTTCTGAATAATTTTTTTTTCTGAATTTTTCGCGCAGAATTTTTTCATTAATTCTGCAATGTAAATAGGTTTCCTTACAGCAAATTTAACATTCTTTCGCGTGCAAACCAGATTTTTCTATAGTCAGTAATTCTGAAGTTTATAAGCAATTTCATGGACCTAAGTCGAAAAATTAAAAAACACCCAAAACCTGAAATTACTTATTTACCATTGAGATTTGAACAGGGGTTTAAAGGAAGTTTTTTGTTGCATATGGTGAGCAGAAACACCCGAAATTTTCAACACTTATCGCTAGTCACCCAGTATATGTATTTACTTTCTAACAAATATGGAAATAAAAATGAAAAATATGTAATATAAAAAAAAATAGTTATGCATATTTTAAAAGAATTTTACAATTTACACATACTAGTTGAATAATAAGAATGAATGAATAATATATAAAATAGTTATTATATAGAATATATAATAATATATAAAAAGTTAATAAAATAGAAAATAAACCTTTAAAAAATAAATAATATATTTGAAATAATGCACATTTTTTAACTTTTTGTAAGTAAAAATATATATATCTTACTAATTCTAAAGAAAATTCTATACAATAAAAATGCATTTTTTTTAAATGTTACAAGTGTAATTATATTAGATATTTTAAATAATGCACATTATTAAATTTTCTCGAAATTTATTAACAACTTGAACCTAAGTTCTCCAAAACTTTTCTTACATTTTTGCTCATTTTTTAAAATTTTCTAAATTTTATTGTTTATTTTATCAAATATGGTCCAAAATGTGTAATTACATGTAAAATCTTCCCAATATTTACAAATATGTAAAATAAACTATTGTTTATTTGTTTGTAAATAGCATGAAACGAACTAAAAGTATCAAAAATGATGTACGAGGTGAAAAAAAAAAAAAAATCGTACCTCTAAAGAATTATGTACATAAGTTTTCCACAATGTATCCATTATCCCCTCTGAAATATTTATACAGTAATTATTTAAGACCAATAATTATAGACTAGTTTTTTTTTTAAATAAGCTACATCTATTTTTACAATAAAAATTACCTTTCATAATGGTGAGATTATTTTCAAAAGATCTAAACGAATGTTCATATTCTGTAATTTCTTTCCTATTTATAAACATTGCTATTTTATTATAGATTTATAATATTATTGTAAATTATTTAAAATACTCCAACTAATCATAACTTACCTTAATTTATCAATTTCCACTTTCATATTTGCATAGTCCATTTTAAGTTTTATTTGTTTCTCATTTCTCAGCTTTTGTTGAGCTTGAATTCGAAAGTAGTTCTTTTCCTTTAGTTTGTTTAGATAGTCCTAGAAAGAGTACATATCTTATAAAATTATATATCATATACAATAAACAAACTGCATGATATGTGTGATATTAACAAATATTTAAACATATTTGCAATGGTATAAAAGTACAAATGTATAAATATATCTATGAATTATTCAGGTTGCATAATATTCATACCTGAACTTCCTTTTCATCTTGGTGCTTTTGTGCCAATTCTCTTTTCAATTTTTCATTAAAGAGTGTTGGGTTAGTTGACTTTAGTTCTACATACTCTTTACGTACTTCACGCTCATAGTAAATTCTCTAAAACCATGATCAGACAATCAGTATATTTGTTTGTCAGTTGAAATTGAGTCTTGAGAAATTTTACCTGTGCCTTTAATTCATCGCTTCTTAAAATATTTGCAAAAACAAAGTTTATCAAACTCTTTGCTAGAGTTGCAAAATTGAGAGTTTTAAGTGTTTCATCAACATCCTTGTGAGCAGCAGACAAAGTGGCGATCAGAACTGTTTTTGTGTTTCCTTGAATCGAACTTTTCAGATAGTGAGTTAAATTTGAATTCCTGCAAAGTTAATTTCATTTATCTAAAATAGACCTGAATTAATCAAATTGAGAAATTACATTATAATAATTAGTAAAAGATTTAGGTAATACTCAAGGTCCTGTGACTGTTCAAGGAAAAAATAATAGTAGACACGTAAATTTATAAAAAGGTTTGATGAGCAGTAAACTTTTGGAACTTCAAAAGCTCTAGACGGGAAATGCTTCTAAATATTTTTTATTTACATAAGTATTATGAAATATTAGTTATAGCTTTTGATTTTTTTAATATGTAACAGATAAATAAATGGGGTTCTTCTGTTATACAGATTCTTAAGGGAAAAGGAGCAAATTGTGATAAGGTCTGTCTTACTGAGACAGGCTCTTTGTTATTTATCCTTGAGAGCTTGGCTATTGTGATGGCGGCTTTGGAGCTTCTCTGACCCAAACTATCACATTCTATTTGTTTTAGGGTGCTTTGCAGAATTGAGAATTTTGTCATTTGTCTTTAAAGAGGATTTTTTTTCAATAGCTGCCGGTGATTTTTCAATTTAAAGAGTTCATTTCTTAATCGGCACCCATTTACCTCTGGTCAAACAATCGTTAAAGATAAAAAACAATGTACATATGCCGATAGAATGGGCACAAAGAGGACCACATGGGTCTTTGATCCACTACAATCATCTTTCAATCCAAATTGCTATCCAGAGTGACATATATATATATATATATACATGGTCATAGTCATCTCGTAGGACGCATTAATTTGCAGGACAACATGGTATATACTTGTATACCTGAGTTCAACCAATATTTGACTGTATTTCCTAATGAAGAACCTATTAGTATAAGCCGCCAGGATGGGACTACAGTAAAACGACTAAAAGGAGTATTTTTACTGAACATCAACAGCAGTAAAGTGGTCTACAGGAACAGAGAATTGTACCACTCTTCCAAAACTTATGGACATCCAAAAGTTATTAGTAACATTAAGCTCAAATTGAGCAAGAATCAACAGCCAAAATTCTCAATTAACATTAAAAAATTGGGATTAGAGGAGCTGAAACTCAGTCACGTTTTGCCAATTATCAGGACTTCCTACATTTCAACATCCATGAGCATATGGACCATGCCTCTACTGTTTATTGGTTGTAGCCTCAGCTTATGGAGTCCTTCACATGGTATGGCACACGGAGACAACCCTTGGCCATTGCAATCCCTATCAATCAGCCGCCCCCGGCAGCTTCATTTGGTGATGGAGGAGTTACACCTGCACAAATACGTTAATTCAGCGACAGATGATGTTGCCACTGTACAGATTCGGAGAATGTGTGTAAGCAAAAAACCCTTCCCTGTTCACTATTCACATTACATTTGTAAAGACAAAATGAGATTAATCATATCCGTGAACAGGAAAGGTTCTTCTCAAATTGTAAGTTGCGTTTAACTAATAAAGTTTTTTAAAAAGACTTTTGATTAGTCAACACACGCAACTGGCACAAGTAATGAGAATGAACCAGGAGGACTGCATTCGACTTATCCAAATATATCTCAGCTAATGATTTTTTTGGAATGCTAAAGATAAAACTCATTGTAACCAGAACAAGAGAGAGGATGTGTGGAAGGAAATGAGCATCAAAATGGGACAAAGACAAAAAAAAATACATTAAAAAGTAATGCCATGAAGCAAATACTGATGCAGCAGTTGGTGTATTTATAAACAGGATGCTTGTCTTGTACAAATTGATGTCTCATTTTGTTTCACCTCTAAGTTGTGAAATGTTTTGCCTTGTGGATATGGTTAACCCGAGACGGCGTTTGACGAGTGATTCTTGCGTTTAGTTGAATGAGTGCTTTTTTTTTCACAAAATGCAAACCCAGCTAGACCTTATTACTCACTCTTGGTCCCATAAATATTAATAATAACAGTAATCACATTGCACATAGAAACATGTGCACATGCAATAAATAACAAATGTCTCAAGGGTGCAACAATTCAGATAGCCAGAAAGCTCTAAAGGCTTTCCAATCCAATGAGATCAATTCAAAATTAGCCTGGAACTGCTGGAATATCTTTTTTAAAAAATCTACTGGTATCTTAATTTCTTATATGATATACTAAAGGCTTGTAGATGGGAAATGGTATAGGCTTAGGCATAAAGGGGCCAAAATGTAAGCCTATTAAAGGTGAACTGCTACCAAAAAAAAGTCCACATGGAATAAATAACAAAATCTCAAGGGTGTAACAATAACAATATCTGATAGCCAGACATTTCTAAAGGGTCTATAAGTCTACGAGATCAACTCAAAACTTGCATGAAATTGCCTGAATATCCTAAAAAACTGGAATCTAGGAATAGCCAAACTTTAAGGTGGGTCCCAGGCCATGAGGGAATTTCAAGTAACGAGGCAACAGACATCCTAGCTAAAAAGTTACATTCAAACAATAAGGCCCAAATCCTATTTGTGGCATAAATTATAGCCACAGTACAAAAGCTGAACTGGAATTTGGGTTACTAAAGAGCACAACAAATATTGAGGGGGTAAACCAGGCATAAGATAAGCAGAAAGCCTACTCGCAAAATTAAAAACCCTAACCATGTCTAAAAGAGAGACAACTGCCCTGCATAGCTTGGAAAGGCTTTCTTGAGCAATGTAGACCTCAATACTCTACCTCAGAGAAGAATTAAAGAAAGCAAAATCTTGTAGGAAAACTAGTATCAAAGCTCTAACACAATAGATACAAATTTAAGTGGAAAATGTGACAATCCCTATGACCCCAAAAGGGAAAGTGAATAAATTTAGATATTTGTACACAATTTATTAATGTTATTTATGTTACACATATGTTAATGAAACATACTAACTCAGATATAACCGTACACCTACCTGAAAGGGATGTATGCAGTTCCATTGGCCAAATGTGTGATAACACGGCTTAGAGTTGACAGTGACTTTTCTAAATTTTCATTCTGCGACTCAGTACCACTGGTAACTCCAGAAAATGATGTAGGGTTTGATCCAGCCAATTTAACAAAAGTTATTTTACCAATTTTACATGTATTAGACATGTTATTATTTACAATAACCTTTAATGTAAAAACAGAGTGGAAGAAACTAAAATTAAATAAAAGATATACATATATAAGTATCATTTGCAATTAAATTTATAACACTTACCGAAAATTTGAGTTAAAAATACAAGAGCAAAACATGTTCAATTCTGTTTCAGCAACACATACCTTGATTGTTTATTTAATGAAGTGTACATTTTTTTATTGCCCTCTTTTAGGACTCTGTTGAATTCAGGGATGTTTTTTACCACAACCTCTTTCAAATTTTGAACATACATTTCTCCTTTAGATCCTTCACAAATTCTATTAACAATAAAATTTTAAAATCCAATAATATGGAAGTTTAAGAAAACATCTATTGTTTTACTTCAGTTTCTTTTCAGTGAAACTATCAGCCAAGAGGTCGACAATCTTTTCTTTGCATATTGCAAAATATGATATTTTGACCATAAAATCAATATTTCCTGAACAGTAGAGAGTTTTCAGTACATCGTTACAAGTCCTTGGAATTATTCCACTCTTGCACTCCTACAAACAAACAAAAATTGTTATACAGGGTAGTCATGAAAGTAATCTACTTATTTTTCACAGATTGGTCACACTTCAGAAATTAATTTGAACTAATTTCAGTTACAACTGGAATCCCAAGGGGATCACATTTGGGTCCTTTATGATATTTAATTTTTATAAATGACCTTATATTCTTTCTTTCTGCTACATCATTTTTATTACATGCTGATAATCCTAAAGTTTTCCTCTCTATAAAATCAACACAAGACCCTCTTCTTTTGTAGCAACCTGTAGATAAACTTAGTTTCTGGTAATAAATAAATTAACTGTATAAATTTAAATGTAACTATTGGGTTGTCCGGAAAATAATGCAGGATTTTAAGTTTTCATTAAAAAAAATCTATATAAAATATTCTGTTTACGTTTACAGGATTANTTTTGATTAAAGAACATTGCTTTAAAGTAACTAGTTTCTTTTTTTTTTTGTTTAATACCAAAATCCTGCATTATTTTCCGGACAACCCAATAAATGCTAGTAATTTTGTTTAATCGTTCATCCAGTACCATTGTGCATAATTATTCTTTCAATAATACACTAAACAAAGTATTCATTGTCAAAGACTTGTGTATTTTATTTGATAGCAAGTGAAAATTTAAGAAGCATATTATCAGAACTCATGAAAAAGCTCTTAAAATTCTGGGTTTTGTAAGAAGAAACACTCGTAATTTTCATAATCCCAATTTATCATTGACATTGTACAAAATTCTTATTGGTACTCTTAAATTTTCTACTCTTGTAGAAATCCACACTGTTCATCCCATTCTGAAATTTTAGATAAAGTTAAAAAACAATTTTTAGAATCCTTAATTTTTGATATCAAATTTAAAAAAAAATAATAATAATAAATTTGTCTAACACAAATATTATTCCAATTCTCCAATGAATTAATTCAAATCTTTTTCACACATATTTTTGTACTCATTCCAGTAATTAAAGTAGCTGATATTTCATCCTCGTTCTTTAGATAAAAAGATATTCTAATGTAGATGAAATAATTTACAATTTTCAGTTAAAATCAGTGTCACGAGTGGGAATCGAACCCATGACCTTCAGCTAAATATGCTCCAACACTTGTGCTATCGTGATTTCGTCCCTCTCGTACACCAACTCTCCATCTCAACCTACAACCATTCAAATTGTCCTTCTTTTTGCCATTTTCAAATGTCGTGTAATCAGGATTCGATTCTCAGCGACATATGTCCACGGAGAGCTGTTTAATGAAGTGATACTTCTTTTACTTATTAAATATTGTATATTTAAAATTATTATATATTAAAATATTATATATTAAATATTATGTCCATTTGTGTTTTAGTGGTCAATTGACCAAGTTACTTCTTTCAATTAATTATTCCTTTTATGCAAGATCTTGGTTGAGATAAAAAAAGTCAGTGTCATGAGCGGAAGAAATGGCAGGAGAAATGAAAAATGGTAAAAAGGAGGGAAAATTCGAATGGTTGTAGGTTGAGATGGAGAGTTGGTGTCCGAGAAGGTTGAAGTCACGATAGCTCAAGTGGCAGAGCAGCAGCGTATTTAGCCGAAAGTCGTGGTTTCGAATTCTGCTCGTAACACTTTTTATCTCAACCAAGACCTTATATAGAAAGAATAATTAATTGATTGAAAGAAGTAACTTGGTCAATTGACCACGAAAACGTAAATGGATTAATATTCAGCTAAAAGTTGGTACCATACAATTTTTCTTAATTATTTTGTTGGTAGGAAACAATTATACAATTACTGACATAATCAAATATAATGAGTAGAAGTCAACCGGTTCACATAAGTAAAAAAATTAAGGATAAATTTTATTATTTTAAACTCCAGGTCAATGACCTAGAGCTTTGTTATAATGGTGTACCCTTACAGATTGGAAATTTCAGGAAATTGAGAAGGCACTTGTCAATGTATTAACTCATTATAACACAGAGGGATTTCATAAGCAAAGGGTGCATTTATAGGAACAGTGATTTCCAATTAAAAATAGAACAATTTGATGATACAAACCAGAAATGAGCAGCTGGGAACAACTGGGACTTAGGCAATGCAATAACCAATAAAATTATTATTTAAAAATTGAACTCAATGAAGAATTTCCAAGCATAAGGGTAATAGCCAATTATTATAATTTTACATAATTATATCCATCCATTCATTCATCGTTTACTAAAATCTTTTAGAAAAATGTCCTTACATTTGTTATGGAGAAAAGATTTATAGGTGAAGTGCCATCCAGTGTGTAAGCCTTTCCACTCTTGCTTTGTCCATAGGTGATGAAGGTACAATTGAAGCCTTCTAAAGCATCCTTTACAAATGGTGCCACAGCAGCATCATAAAAGCTGCTCTAAATGTATGCAAAAATAACATAATTATTTACAGTAGCAGAAAAAATATTAAGGTATATTCTATATTTTGTAATTCATAATTAATGGTGTAGAGAAACATATCCTTCTACTTCTAAGAACTGGTACAGGGGACCTAATAGTCGACTCTCTTGCCCGAGAACTGGTTTTATTTTGAGTGATATGCCTACTCGCCCCTTGTAAGGAACCAAGGCATGACACCCTTTGTGACACACTTAACTTTTCCCTATATCAGGATACCTGTGTACGTTTAAGACCAGAAATAGGTGCCCATGTGTCAGTCAGATAAGGTCTATCATTAGTTGGGTAAGCAGGACCTTTTCCTTGCGGTTTAAACTCTCGGAGGGCTATTGTTCAGTTGTACTCTTAATACGCAAGAGCTTCTTCATAGTTTGTCCTCACGGAAGTGGCTTTTGCGACCTCGTCTGTAAGTGATTCCCTTCACCCAATGGGTATTCAGACAACAGGAGACTATTGTATTAGTAAAACCGTCAAATAAATTACTCCATGCTTTTCCATATGAAAATAATAAATTATTAGGTAATTTGATAAAAAGGTTTTCATTTCAAATAAAACGTATGTCAAAATCAAAATGGAAAATTGTCAATAAATTTATAATTTGTATAAATAAATATTTACCTGTGAAGTTTCAGGCCCAAATATTTCATCAAATTCATATCGCATTTTTTTGTCTTCAATGGTAATTTGACATTTGTCATATTTTATATAACCTGAATCAACTGATGGCCTACAAATCAATAAAATTAATAATCCATTGAAAAAATTAGAATATTTAATAAGTATAGTAAAATAAAATAATTCCTGTAATACAAGAGGGCTTAACCTGCTGGTTGTTGTGAACAAGAGGTCAAACCTCTTTACAATTTTTTTCATTTTATGATCAATTAAATTAAAAAGCTGGAATTCGAACGCAGAACAGCTAGTATGGCTAAATGCATATACAAGTTGGATGCATTAAGCCCTCATGTATGACAAGAATTATTTTATTTTTTACTTAGTTTAAATAAAATTTTAATGATTATTTGGAGATTGTGTGATGCGGTCTGGTGTGACGTAGGTTTAGAAAAACATTTTCTTTATCGTGCCAATGTTTCAATCTATGAGATCTCAATAAAGATCGAAACTTTGGCACAATAAAGAAAATGTTTTTCTAAACCTACGTCACACCAGACTGCATCCCACAATCTCCAAACAATCATTAATTAACAATCACTAAACACCACACATATAAACAATTCAATACTTATGTTCTACTGAGGCTCATAATATCAGATACATAAAAAAATGTAGCACACTGGCTGATGTTTCAAAATTCCATTGATTTCCGTATTTAAGTATACCATACTTGTTTAAAACTGTGACACTCAGTGTTCAACGTTTTTATATAGTCTTACATGTCTTATTACACATAAAATACTGGTGGATGTTGTTGATGTGTTCTAATGGCTACTGTTTTCCAGTATCTTCGCAATACACAGTATTTAATACTTTTAGGGTACTTTTCACAATAAATTAATTATAAATATACCAGATATTTTGTTGAGAAGTCCCTTTGATTTTAGTGTAAAGAGGATACAAAATACGTGTGTACGGCACAGTATTTCTTTTGTACCTAAATAGAGGTAGTGAGTGAGTTGTTAGGGCATACACTTGTATTTGATCTTTGTTTATTTAATAATACATAATTAATAATTATAAATATATTATTCTTGGAAGTAAACATAATGTGGAAGGAAGTAGAGCTTCAATTGAAACAAAAAATGTGTCAGTCCTCATTCGTATTTCCAATTTATTACCTAAACCTAAGAATGCCACAAGTGAGAACATCCAACTAACTTTTTTAAAAGGATTCAAGTGAGAACTTCACCTTCTTTTAAAATAGCAGGATGTTTTTTCCTTTCAACGTAAAACAGAAACCCCCCAGCAATGCAGGAATGATATTAGAACTGAAATTAAAAAACTTCCTTGACAAAAATATCTGATTGACTGAAATGGAGAAAATTAATGAAATCTTAAAAGGAAACAATTATTTTGTTATACAGGGAATCTACGATCAAATTATATTAAGTTCCTACTAGTATGCTCCCTTTACCTCTGTTGACAGTGGAAAGTTTCTATAGAAATGATGAAGGTGGGGTGAGCATATAGATTCACTTTTTGTAAAAAGTGGTTTTACTCAGATTTATGTTGTTAATTGTTATAATCCATTAAATGCTTTGACTAGAAAATTAAATAGGAATGATGAAGATGGGGTACGTAGTCACTTTTTGTAAAAGGTGGTTTTACACAGAGATTTAAATTAATTTAATTTTTAAATCTGTGAGTAGAAACACCTTTTATAAAAAGTGAAAAAAAAAGTTGGAATGCTTTTGTCAAGGTACAAATATTTTTGAGAGGTAAACCCTGTAGTTTTACATAAACTAACTTTGAAATTGTATATCATAGTCAATTTTAATTCAGATCATGAACTTTTCATTGCCTATAAATCCGGGCTGTAGTGATAACATTATTTAATGTTTGAGTTACTCAAGTGGCTTTAAAGGTTTAATATTTAATAATTAATAAATATATATTTTATTACACAAATTGAACATTGTAGCATTATCCACACTGAACTAAATCAGGTTGAAATTAAAAATTGTTTCCTGTTTTCAGAAATGATTTTTTTTTTTTTAATAAAGCAGCTGCAGCACTTCCTTAATCCCAGGCTTTTCTCATTTGAACTCTAGATTGTAAATATTTTTCTCATTTATAATGATTATTGATTAATAAAGCTGTTTAATATTTTAGATACTTAACTAAATGCAATATACAATTTCAATATGACTTTCTTTTTACTTACTTAATCCTAATAAATGTTTTTACTCTTGCCATGACTGGAGCTGATGAAAGGTGCAAGCAATGTTTATTTGATAAGAATGATACATAAACAAGTTTATCAACAAATTTTAGACACTATACATTGACCTTTAACCAAATGAAACTAAATTCAAAGGGTGGGGTTGAGATGGGATGTTAGTGTCCAAGTGGATCGAGATCTCAAGTGGTAGAGCAGCGGCTTATCTAGCCGAAGATCGTGGGTTCGAATCCCGCTCGTGACACTGAATTTTTTATCTCAACCAAAAACCTTAATTAATTGAAAGATATTAATTGGTCAAGCGGATCACAAAAAATACTGAATTTAATAAGTTTAAATGAAGTGTACCTTCACTAAAGCTCTCCATGGCCATTTCATTTGTCACCGAGAATCAAATAGATTACACGACATTTGAAAAATGGCAAAAAGGTGGGAAAATTCAAAAGGTGGGGTTGAGATGGGATGTTAGTGTCCAAGTGGATCGAGATCTCAAGTGGTAGAGCAGCGGCTTATCTAATCGAAGATCGTGGGTTCGAATCCCGCTCGTGACTCTGACTTTTTTATCTCAACTAAAAACCTTTATCAACAAATTTCAGACACTATACATTGACCTTTAACCAAATGAAACTAAATTCTTTATCCGACCTTGAAAATTGGTGCCAAAATAATAAATGTTCCTCAACATAAACAAATGTAAACTCATTACATTCTATCACTGTGAATTAAGATTGGTTTATGAGTTTTATTATTATAAATTATTTGGATTTAATATTGCTAGGTGTGACTGTAAAAGATCTTGAAGTTTTATTTATTTATTTAACCAGCAGCCACACCCTTTTTATAAAAATGTACAAAATGGCAAGGTGGCTAAGGCTGGGACACCCAACCTTTCAGATATAACTAATGTGATCCGGCCCTATGGTGCTAAAAATGCAACTAGATTAAAAAAAAGTGGTATGGTCAGTGGATCCAATCGGAGAAGCTCTCATGTATCAAGAATACTGTCGATAGGCCCTTGGAGGATTCACTGGCAGAAGAGTCATCTTCACCTCATTAAGATGTGAGGTTGAAACCTGGACAATTACTTTGGGGCAAAAGCTCATGTATATGTCTTAGAGACAGGTTGCTTGAATGTCCCTCTTAATTGAAGGGTACCATTCCTTGGCTCCATATAGATTCTTGTGAGAAGAATGACACACTAGAATTGTGCTTGAACATGGCAACAAGTATTTTGGTCCCCTGTTCTGATTTTTAGGGGTAACAGTACTATTTTACTGTATATAATACTTTACTGATATATCACTTTTTTTTCTTTTTTTCGTGTGAGTATTGAGATTTAAAGTATTTATTAGCATGAATGTGTAGTATGAGAGGAACGATGGCAGAATATTGAGTACCCCATCAACCCTCAATTGAGTTAGTTATATTTTAATATGTGTGGAAGATGAAGTTGGAATGTAAAGTACTCCACCACCATAACTGAGTGAATGGTATGTAAATAGGAAATAATGTATTTAAGAGTGAGTGGGTTTAGGGCAGAATCTGAAATTTCCTAGCTGTTGAAATCCGAAGTTGTAGCTTTTTAATGAAACTCATTAATGTAAGACCAAATTAAAAAGACATTTAAGCATGAGTTTTGAACCAAGGAAACATCTTATTTGTTATTCTATGAAAAGCTGCATCTTTCATCCGTTCTACTACGTTGTAACACGAAGATTTGTACACTGGGCCTCTGTCTTTTCATAAAACAAGATGTCCTCGCACTCATTCTGTTGGGTGAAATAAAATACTGCAAGTGTATAAACAACACAAAGTAAAGTATTACAAATACTTTAATAATAATTTAAATAAAAAATAAAGCTACATAAAAGAAAAAGAATGTTTTTGAACTAATAAACAATCGTGGAAATTAAACCAAGTAATGTCATGCAGTGACATTAATTAAAATAAAAAATAGACAAGAAAAATAAACTGTTCCAATTTAAAACTAAACATGCTTTCAAAAAATTAATATATCTGGGACTTGGTCAGCTCACGTGTCCTGCATAAGTCTCTTGGACTTGTTCACATACCCCAAGATTTTAGACGATTTTATCTGGGGGAGTGATTTAGTGATGTCCTCTCCTTCAAAGATTTCAAATCTAGACCTAGCATAACTATCACACTCTGCGAGGTAGTGCCTTGCCGTTTCTTCTTTTATTTCGCAAAAACGGCAAAAGTGATCTGGTAGAATACCCATTATGGAGAGGTGTTTTCTCAGTGGGCAGTGGCCCATCAGAATACCTATCAGCCTCCTAATTCCCTTCCTTGAGATAGAGAATAGCCATTTTGATTCTGCTGGTTTGATTGCCTTAACTCTTTCAATTGCCTGTGTCCAGGGGATAAATTCCACTCCCTAAGGAATTGTTTCATGCCCCAGTTATTAATACTCTCTTTTGCTGTGCTCATAGAGTGAGGTAATACCGGTTGTGGACCGACAAACGCAGTATTAGAACCTTCTTTGGCCAGGCCATCCGCCTTTTCATTGCCATGGTGTCCTTTATGTGCTGGTATCCAAATAAGGGTTACTTTGTTCCCAAACCTGGAAGAAAAAAATTCTAATATCTTTTCCCCTAATTTTATTTTCCATAAGTGTTCTACAACACACATTAATGGCCCAGATTTCCACCTGAAAAACGGAGATGTTATTGCCAAGAGGGGAGGAGATGCTGATTCCTAATTCCTGCACCACTTCCTCTACCTTTGATAAGTGAACCATCTGTGTAGTAGTCTATGTTGCGATGGTCATCATCCAAACTATTAATTACATTCATAAGGGGTGACTACCTGAAAGTACTTTTTCCCCGAAGGGGTTTTAATCTTTTTATCACTAATGCTTAATAATAGGCCGTTAACCTTACTCAATGGTTGTGAGATTTTAGAGTGACCTATGTTGATGATTCGCTAATTAATCTGTAGCAGCTGATTAGTGCTCTGACCTTAACCTCAATGTGTAGAGGTGTGGTATTGGTTATGATTTCAAGTGCTAGGGTGAGTGTAGTTGAAAATGCTCCTCTCATCATCAAACAGCCTAGTCTTTGAAATGACCTTAATTTGTTACTGTTCCCTTTATTTTCTAGACCGGTTGCTAATAACATTATACAGGTCATAATCTCTGCGTATGTAGAAGCGTGTCCTGAAAAAATACTATGCCAGAATCAACATCACTGGTGGAATAAAGATCTCACTAGTTTAAGAAAAAGAGTCAGAGCATTACACAAAAAAGCCCTGCAATAGAACTCTGAACTGTACTGGAGAGATTATTTCTCCATGAAGAAAGAATATAAAAAAAGAGTTAAGGAAAACTAAGAGTAAAGCCTGGTGGGACTATTGTACAAAACAGAAAATATTAAGGAAAGTGCTCGTATTTTTAAACTTCTTGGAAAATATTATATTAATCGTTTAAGTTTATTACAGGATGATAATGGGGTGTACACCACATCCTGTGAGGAGACCCTGAACCTGATGGCTAGAATTCATTTCCCCAGGTCAGACTCTTCCACTATCCTAGCCGAGGTTGAACTACCAACACCAAACTGGGATAAGGCTAATGAGGTAATTTCTTGGGAGGCCAACAAATGGGCAGTACAGTCCTTCAAGAAATACAAGGCAGCCGGGGTGGATGGAATATTCCCTGCCCTCCTTCAACAGGATACAAATTTTGAGGCATAATATGAACAAAAACTTCACTCACTGAAATTCAAGAAAAATTAGATCTGTTCCGTTCAAAAATAAATATTTTAGAAGGCACAGAAGCCAACAAAGTTACCTAATTCAGTTTCAAGAATTAGTATATGCAACAATTTCATAAGTTCACTGAAAGATCCTTTACAAAACAACTTAGTGACCAGGAACCCGAAAACTTTGTTACAAATTGAAAGGTTGCTAGTTAATGACTTCCAATACATGAATTATGAACCATACGCAGAGTCATCCCATTTAAAACCTTTAAAAACATTTCAGAATTCTCATCCCAGGAAATGTTTAACACAAATTTCACGACTGGACCGGTGCATATAACACCAAGACCCCTTAACCCTCAAGGAAAATTTGCACCTAGAATGCCAATAACCAGCACACAAAACACAAAGCCCACACCGATGTCAACCCAAACGACTCAAAGCTGGCAAAGAAACAGACATCCCAACAATTACTTTACACAATAAAATAACAAATTTGGTCAACACAACCTAATTATATAACGGAAGAACTTAACCATATGAGCAAGAAATCAGCTAAATGAAACAACATGATGACTCATTGTTTAGAGGTTCCCGAACACTACCCGAATTTCGGATGATGACGAACTGGGACAAAGTTCGTCTCCTGTACATCAAATTACCTAAGTACAATTTAAAAATATTATTAGATACCGGAAAATCAGGACATATCACATGAATACGAAAGAAAAACTAGCTATAGAACAATTGACAAAAGAATTTAGAGACATATTTCATCAAGAAGGCACACCTCTAACATTCACGAATGACATAAAACATGTAATAAAAACGAAAGACGAGGTACCAATCTACACTTAATCCTATAAATATCCTGAGATATATAAAAACAAAGTTAAACGACAAATTGACAAAAATGTTAGAACATAACATAAAAAAAAACTATGCGATATTAGTGTACAACACTATTCACTCAGTTACAAACCTGAAGTCAATCGAAATAATTACAGGTCATATACAACAGGAATTTCTATTACCTATAAATTTAGAGTCGCAATTTTTAGATGATTATATTAGCAAACATATAAAGTAGAAATAATATATAAAAAATAATCAATGAAAATAGATAGAAACATAAAGAAACAGTGACAGGAAAACGCAACGAGGATAGAGAAGAGATCTCAGCTATTCCCGAAAATATTTATGTAAGAAACCAACAGAAACAATCGAAAACAAAAATTTTATTAAAAAGGAGAAAATAAAATCTCATAATCCTTTAAGGAAAACAGCTATAATTGAAAAATCCCATCGTAATACCAGACCGAATATTCATTTAGCAAATGTAAACAGACCTCAGAAAACAATTTACCAGTTTAATACTAGAAATGTCGATATTACAGAGCCTGGACCTTCGCGATGTCAGCTGCCAGGCCTGCATTCTAGATAAAAAATATCTCACGCAACATCGGAATTCTACCGATATCATTAGGAGAAGCGAGAATAATTACGTCAGAACACATTTTGATGCATTACTTACTTGGCAGAAACATTTAGGAATATTCAACAAATAACATCAGTTAAAGATACTTTTAATCAATTACATATCCTTTATCAATTATTACTAGAAATAATGCAAGATATTGAAAATTCAATAACTTTTTGCAAATTGCAAACAGTGCATCCAAGCATTATAAGCACCCGTCAATTATTTAGATTTAAAAAGATTGGAGAACCGATTATAAATTAAGTTACCCTTAGAAGTGAAATGTGAGAATATCATAGACTTTGAAAATATGTTAAAAGTTGACTGTAGAATAGAAACAAATCAAATAATTTACTTCTTGCGATTATCATTATGTGGTGAAGATAAATTTGAATTATATAAATTACAACCTATTCCCTATATACATATATATGGTCAGTATACATATGAAAAAAGGAAGATCTCGAATTATTATCCATAATCTATATCTATATATATATATATATTATGGATAATAATTCGAGATCTTCTTTTTTCCATTATTAAGTCACCTCGGGTTAAGTGGGAGAAAAATGCAATTGTGCTTAATCGACATCTGATAAGCCGAGTGCATTTTTCTGTACAAGAAACGCTATAACTAATAGTTATATTATTGGGTTGTCCGGAAAATAATGCAGGATTTTGGTATTAAACAAAAAAAAAANTGTATGTGTGTGTGTGTGTGTGTGTGTGTGTGTGGTATATGTATAATTTTTTTTTTAATTAGGAAAAATAAATTTTTTGTAGATCTTAACACTGACGTTTTCCGCGTGTCAGATTGCAAAATTGGAACCTTCTCACCGTGCCTAAGCACTAAACCTTGTGGCGGGAGTTAGCTTAGGATTGGTGCCAGTGTCGGTGATAACAAAATTTCAGAAATTAATAAGTTGAACATCTTCAGATTTAGGAAAGAGGAAAGGTGTGGAAACGAATAAAAAAATTAAGAATATGAAGGTGTTTCAAATGAGTGCCTGGCCGGCTTGGAGCATCGTCGGTCAACAAGTCGAGAATAGAATTTTAACTCAGTGTAACACTAGATAGAGAAGACCAGATTTAGAATTTCCTTTGACTCCTTAGCTCTCATTCAACCTAGACGCTTGTGTTTAAAAATAGCCTGCCTCTGGCAAACTCCCAAAATAAAAAGAGAGGCGGATAGTGTATGAGTGAAAAAAGGAGAAATTCCCAGTACGTCCGAGTCTTGTAAGAAATGACCCATTGCTGCAAAAAGGGATTTCTGTTGATTTAAAACATAAGTTGAATCTTTTAAATTTTGTGAAGTCAGTGCTTAAAAATTTCGTTCGGTATGAGTGATTTACCCGAGCCAGTTCAAAAATGTGTTGCTGTGCTGAAAAATGCTGCTGAAGACACAGATAAACTCTCTGCACTGTTCTTGGTAACGAGTGTCATCAAAGGTGGAGAATGTTCGGACGCGGTGAAGGTGGCACTTTACGAAGCCATCGGTGTCGATTTCTTGACAAGGATGTTGAATCCGGTGGCATCCGGCTTTTCGCCTGATTGCCCTTCACCGATCCTAAGATCCCTGGCCATGTCGATATTCTCAACTTTCTGCACAGTTGAGGAGTTGGCTGACAAGCCGCAGATGTTGGCGAGGATCCCCGACTTCATTAAGACAGTTGATGAGGTGGATGAAGAGGATGAACTTATGACGGTGAGCGACGCTTACGAATGTCTCAAATTGTTTTCAAATTTCTCCAGGGGTCGGGACACCTTGATCAAAGAAGGCGCTATTGAAAAGCTGATAGAAGTATACTGCAATCAGGGTTTTCAATCAGACGAGGCTCTAAAAATTGTAGTCATTCTTATCGAGCACCATGGCCCGAAGACATGGGAGAATCACAGTTTAGAATATTTCAATACGTTCGTTGAGAAGCTGGCTTCCGACTTTATGACTGATCACTCAGAGCGTAAATTCGTTCTCTGTAATGCTCTCCACTATATTATTTCGTCGGCTGCTTCAATCCCAGAAATCGATAAAGTGGACACCTGGCAAGGTGAGATATTCAAGGGTGTGACTGACATTTTAGGAGGGAAAATCAGTAAGTCGCAAAGAGAACCAGCTTTGCATTTGGCCTCAACTATGGTTCAGGTATTTGGCATGCAATGGACTTCTCGTGATCCAGAAAAGCCAAAACAGTTTTTTTTACTGCTCACTCATTTGAGCAGTATAGAAGTGCGTATGCAGCTAGAAGATAGAAATATAAGCCAGATAGTACCCAATATTCCTATAATTCTTTCTTGCTTCTTTATCGTAGAATGTGCTGTGACCTCGATGGGCAATGATTTTATAGAAATGGATTCCAAGGAGAAACAACAGATATACATCGCTTTAAAAGGAGCGTTTACTGCTGTCGTAAACTTATTGAAAAAACTTCATGTCAAAAGTAGTCAGACTACAGCTGGGATTAATGATGTTGAAAAAATGTTGACAACTGCGTTGATTCGGGTCTTAGCATCATGGATGTCTCAGGAAACATCATCACTGAAAGAAAAGATTTATGAGTTGTTGCCTTTTATACTGAGTGTGGCAAATGAATCTTTTTATTCTTACCGCGCTGCCTATGTGGCTCAGAAAGTGAAGCAGTCACAAGGCAGCAGTGAATTGGTTAAACCTGGAAAAGAAGAAGCTGATCTTTTGAGAGTGTTATTACCAGCATTGTGTCACATTACCATAGATGAAAAAGGAAGGAGGATTATGTTGGACAACAAAGAAGAGGAGGTTCTTTTTGAGAACTTTGGCTTTCATTGGTCTGTTGTTAACTATAAAAAACCGGTCATCCCCAAATCTGAAAGATTGAAGCAAGTGAAGACTCAGGCTTTGGAGTTACCAGAAAATATTAAAGAAGCGATTAAAGACTCTAGAGTTGCACTGGTCAGTATGTGCAATATATTTATGAATATTATTGTGTTGGATCCACAATTCGTCGAGACGAGCAGCACATTTTCGTCTCTCTTAAAATTTGTCTTGAATAATTTAACTGAACTGAAAGATCTATCAGATAACATTGTGCTTCATGCTAATGTAGCTGTACTGGGTTTACTCCTCCTAAAACATCAGTCAAAAAAAGTAAGCAAGACAGACTTTTCTATCTGTCGGTACATTCAATCGACGATCAGATTTTTATGGGATGCTTACCATGTTGATGAGTCGGATCACATGTCCGATCTTGTTGTGTCTATGGCTTACAAAAGATTTTGGATTGAAGTCATGGAAATGTGGTTCCTCGGTATGCAGACCATGAGCATTGTATTATCTCTCATCCCTTGGATATCCGAATTCATAATGGAGACAGGTTGGGCGCAAGGTACTCTAGACATGCTCAAGCGCGCTAGACCAGGGTCGATCCCTCATAATACAAAAGCTGCTTATGAAGATTTCCTTTGCCAACTTGTCAAAACAAATAGTACTGTAATCCCTATATTTAAAGAACATGATGCCTTAACAGTATGCAGAAATCACATGTTCCTTGCACTTGGTAAACTACTCTTTGGTGATTAATACTCACCACTTAGTATGGTCAAAAAATCTCTTCTATATAAGTTGTTATCAATGGTTTTGTGTATATTTCCTTTGTACCACATGCAAGTTTTGTTTTCTTTTTTAATCTTCTTGTAATAACTTGAATTTCAATAGATGTTCCACACTAATATATATGAATCGAATGAAGTTTTGAAGCTTTTTAAATTACCTAATGAGCAGTAAGTTTGATATTGGCTTGTTCCTAGTAATTTTTGGTACCTTAAAGTTTTGAAGCTTTTGAATTTCGCTTCATTTTTCATTCATTTTTTCTAATGTATATTATTAAAGAGTTTATTAGCTGAATATTTTTTTCTATGATATTATATAACAAGGTTTCATTTATAACAATGATGACTCCAAATATTAGTATTTTTATAACATTAAAAAGTGTATTATGCCAGAACTTTGATTTTTAGGATAATTAATATTTAGGAAATGGTGTTAAAAATTTAATGTACTTTTACCCTAGTACAGTTCAAAAAGAATTTAATGTCTTGCTTCTCTTTTTGTTGGATCTTTTTCATCTGGATTATAAAAACTTCTTCGTTTTCCAATGTTTACTTATTTGTTAGGTAGATGCATTCGAGGATCTTTCCACCACCTCAGTACATTTTTCTAAAATTTTGATAAATCAACAATAAAGAAATAGATTTTTATACATTAAGAATATTTTACAAACTAACACATTTCTTACACTTTGAGTGTCAACAAATGACTGGCTTTTTGTATAAAAATAATATTGATTATTAATAGTATTGTGTAATATTGTTAATGTTTGAAAATTATTTCATTAGTGATTTAAATTTTTTTAGAAAAATGTACTGCGGAGTGGGTGTAAAGAGCCTTGAAATGCATCTCCTTAATAAATAAATAAACATTGGAAAAGTTTAAGAAATTTTTTTAATCCAGAATTTAATGTTTTCATATTTCATTAGTACTAAAAATGTGATTTGAAAGATTTTTACACAAGAATTACTATTTGTTCATCATTATTATTGTTGGCACATATGCATTTTTTTCTATTTGATTTCTTTGGGTAACACCATACTTTAATATAAATATTTGAGGCTAATGTAAATCTATTTGAAGACTAACCCAATGGAATTAGTCTCCTGAAGAATTATGTCTTTCTGTGATAAAATGTATCAAAAATATGTTTATAAGAAAGATTATATTTTCTCAAATTTGATGCTATTGACTTAAACGCAAAATGTTTTGTGATGGAGTACAATATATGTTTTTAGAAATTATTAATACCATATAAGCAGTTATTTGAAATCTGCATTGAGCAATTTGAATTTTGTTGAAAATATGAATAATGTCTGGTATTTAGTTTTTATTCCTGTTTTTATATTTTGCTTTTTTACTAAACAGTTTGTAACAAAAGGTGTAATTGAATAGTTTTGCTTAAGGAAACAAAAAATTTTAATGTTTAAATTTTTTTAAATTTAACATGCTACTATCGTTGCATTAACAGTACTTGCTTTTACATTTAACCTTTTACAATACCTGTAAAGACATATTAAACTTAGGTACATACTTGTGAGCATAACAATTAATAAACTATTAATAACCAAAATGAGTGTTGATAAAACAAATAGTTCTTCATTTTTCAATTGTATCATTCAGTCATTTTTCTTAATTATCACAGAAATATAAAAATATTATCAATGATTAATTGTATGTTCATTTTTCAAGTTTTTCTGTTGTATTTTTTTACAAATTTACAATGATTTTATTAAATAATGAAGTATTTAATTTTATTTAGAACACATGGGTTAATTTGCAAAAAAAATATATATATAATCAATTAATGCTTGTATGACTATAATTTTAATGGATTTTGTCATAAGTGTGTCAAATTGTCAGTATAGTACGTTTGAATTGCTGCTTACAAGCTTACAATAGTTACCATTAAATAATTGATTTACCTGGTCAAAGAACCTTATATATGAATGTTTTGAATCATTTATTGTCCAATTTATGAAACAACATTATATTACTGTCAAATTATCTCAAGAACTTCCATTGTAGTAAATAATATGTCTGTTATTAAATGGAGGGAATAAATGTTTTAATTCAAAAACGTATTATTTTTCTAGCTAATTTCCCTACCTATGAAAAATATGGAAAAGTTGCTAATCTGTGGATTTTTGAATAAGCAGCTAAAAGAAATAATCAAAAGTTTCTTTGTACTCCATGATCATAAGTGTTAGCCAAGTGAAAATGCAATTGCATACAAATCCGGGCTCTACACATAAGTCACACGGTGTGTCTCAATTGTGGAAGCCTATAATTTTTACCATTTTCCTTTTTACTTTTTCTATTGTTAGGTTGTAATTGTAATATGATGATCAAACTAAAGCAATATTCCAACAAAGATTATTGAACAGAAAAGTAGTCTCACTATGGAATGTTCCGGAAAATCTCTGGTTATCCTTATAAATCCAAAAATTGTATAAATACAAGTAATGGATAAGCCATATTGCATATTTGATCAGTGGGAAAGATAGATTTCTTTTTAATTTACATGTGCATTTTATTTTTGTTGATTAAAAAATTTACTCTGTTCTGCAACTTTCGACACGAAAGATCACTCATTGAATCGTTCACCGAATCGAATACTGAATAGTTCGTTCTTTTATGAACGTTTGAAGTTGAAAGTTGAAGTTTGGACCGGTTTGATTGGGGATGACTATCGGGAATGTTTTGTGACGAATTACACAGCAGGTTTCACGCATTGTTTATTAAGTTTTTAGCTGATTTCGAATGACGAAATTGCCTTTCTAAATTATCTCTGATAAACTGTCCGGAATCCATCCGATTCATTACGACAAATGGATATGATAATAAAATTCAACTGTCAGACTGCGGCAAGAGACAAACTCGCCAGGTATTTATTTTCAGTTTCTTGACTAATTTGGCGCTGACTATGCGATTTTCACGCATTCATATCTAAAGGTTGTTCCAGTACTCCTGTCGAACTCTCTGGTACGTTATGAAAGAGTATCAATTGTCCAGTAACAATTCAATTGGGAAATTTGAAAGTTTAGAATATCATTTCAGCACTTTCAGAAAACGTAAGTAAATAGAAGGCGAGAGAATCTGACAAAAATCGTTTTAAATCTCAAAGAATGTCTCAAGCTCACAGTTAAACAAAAACATTTGTTTACTAAGAGAAGTAGTATTTAAGATCTTAGATTTTATATGATTGTGATGTTTGGTGTAGTTTGGTTATTTTCATTCATCTAATAATGATATTTCTCGTATTTTGTAAAGAACTGAACTGTATAGAGCTACTTTCCTGAAATTAAAGTAATTGTGCTGCATTATGGAACCATAAATTACTGATGTTTAAAATTCTTCACTTCTTATGTTTGCCCAGTTTTTCTTTTATCCTGGGAAAAATATTGGCACCGACAGTAAGCATAAATGGTCAACATAGTATACTCAAAGAAAAACAATTGGACACTTTTTATTGTTTTATTGTCTATAATAACTAAGTATAAAAATTAATAGTTAACTTAAAACATAAACAGCATTAATAACTTGTTAACTTTATAGAATGTTACTAACCCTTTTACACTTTTTAGATTAAAAATAAAGAAAATTAGTTAAGTTTCATCCTTCCCAGGGACAACTTGTTGAGTGGGTCAATTGGTTTTTTAAATGGTTTTCTTTGATGAAACAATAAATTTGAATAAAAAATTGATTATTAATTTTTATCTTAAAAGTATGGTTTTAAGTTGAAAAGATCTTGTCTGGGTAGATGCGTCAGCCAACAACAGAGTACTGTTTGCTACATAGCACAAAGTCCTTGGTGTGCACCACAATCCTTGATGACCTACAGCGTTTAGGGCCACTATATACCTCAATCAATTTGAAATTGATGGCCAGAGTTTTATTGCTTTTTTTTTATTTTTTTTATTGGGGCTTCCGACATCTATGTCTATATTCTATTTACCCTTTCAAACACTACATTCATACAAATAAATACATCCATACAGTACACTCATTCCGTTTGGTCAGTGGAGTACTTGATATTCCTCCACCGACCCTATACTGAAAATTATCTAGATTGGGGTTGATGGAGTACTTTTATAAATATTCCGCCATCGACCCCGAACACACACTCTTACGCTCTCATCCTTCGAGGAGTGATGATGAATTATATTTCACCCTCACCCCTTGCCTTCATGTTAATAAATACATACACTCAGACAAAACATATCGACACATAAGACATACTATATACAATAAAAAAAAAACCAATTTCCCCTAAGAAGCGGAACAGGGGACTCTGAAATTCGCTACCGTGCTCGAGAACTCTTCTTAAGTCCGGCGGCATGCCTACACGCTCTCTGTTTGGAGCCAAGGCATGACACGCCTCTATTATGTGGGACACATCGAGCAACCTTTCTGTGCATAAGGGGCACCTGCGCGGGCTTTGGCCCTTGCTCTTATTGCACTACAGAATGTCATTTAAAGGCAGTCAACTCTAAATGGTCCATAATGTAAGGGTGAGCTTTAAACAGTCATCAGAAGGCTTCGTGAGAATAGCATTCAGCATCAGGTTCTCTACAACTGGAGAGGCAACGACTAGAAAGGCAATTTGCATATCAGCAACTCGCTTGGACACTTGGACAATGGGGGCTGTCCTCTTCACAGACGAGTGCTGGTTTGGTTTGTGGCAATCAGATGACCAGGGCTGCGTGTGAAGACGTGGAGAACACTTCATGTGCCATGCTTGAGTCTTTTCAAAGAGAGCCATTTTTGGTAGGTGGATTCTATGTGCATGTCCGTTCTGAACTAATTGCCATAAAGAATGGAGCTTTGTCTTCAATAAGGTACATTGAGTAAGTTCTTCTGGAATCCCATTAGCTCCATTTATTTAGGGCAACTTCATGACTGATAATGTAGCTCGAGTTGTTACCCATTTCATGGAGGATGTAGCAATCACCACAATGAATTGGCCAGAACGTTATCTGACATGAATCCCATTGAATACTTATGGGACATGATAAAGAGACGGGTTAGAGGTCGTTTACCATCTCTTTTTTTTTATTCAAACCCGGGACCTTTAACTGTGATGAGTGCTGTGTCATCGCATAAACCGTTGTGGCCACCAACACCCCTCCAACAAACCTTGAATAGCTTCAAACTGCTATTATTGAAGAATGGGATTCTGTTTCACAAGACAAAATCCGATCACTACTCAATGCCTAGGAGACTTAGGCCGTCTGCATGGCCAGAGGAAATATGTGTTATTAAGAACAAAACTAGGTAATAAATTGTTAGTTAAATTTTAAGAAATTTCTTTCAAATAAACAATTAAATAAAATTAAAAATTAAATTTAAATTAAAAATATTAAATTTTTATTAAAACTCATGAATCTCTGATCTCATTTATTTTGGTTTATATTAAAATAAGTATACTGTAATTAATATAATGATAAAATAAATATATAGTTTAAAATAAACAAGAAAATACAAGTGTCTGGTTTTTTTCTTTGAGTACCATATTACTCACCACCTACATATTTGCTTAAAAAACATAAAAACACATTGAAGATGGTGGGATGCCAAAACACATATGACATACTGACTCAGCAAGGATAGGCAGTCCAAATAATCAGTAATGATCAAATTACAAACTCACTAACACTCTCACCACGACACACTGACACATCTACACAGAAAACACACACTTTGAATGAGTAGAAATACTTTAATTAAACCTAAAATTTTGTATATTGTGTACATCATTGTTTAAATTCATTGTTTCACATCTTACATGTATTTTTATAATTTAAACAATGTTTATAAATCCCAGGCTCTGAAGATGATCTCAGTAAAGATCGAAACTTTGGCACGATAAAGAAAATACATCTCGCGATCTCTAAATAATCATTAACTAATGGTCACTAAACACCACACACTTGAACATATGTAAGAACGCTTACAGACAAATCACACAAGCCTTCAAACCATCAGCAATTTATTTTTTTTTAAACACTTTTGGCTAATCAATACACCAATCAAGAAATCTATAGTCAATCCTTGCTTTGTTTCTGTTGAGATACATTTCAGAATTGTAAGCCACCATCTGTGAGAATCTGCTGTGGTTACCCTTTAATGTAAATTCTTTGAGGAAAAAAATTTCCTCGGACAGTTGGCATCTTTGTCACTCTGTCCTATGAAAACATACCATTAATTGTGTTGATTATGTTACAATCAAAACTATTAGATATAAGAATGTGAAGAATAATTTCAATTTTTTTAATTGTTTTATTAATTATATTTTTATGTTTCAGTGTTAAGGTTTGGAAGATTTTTTGAAAACTTATATCACGCATTGAATACCATTAATCGCCCAAATATTATTGTAAGCACAACGTCTACATTAGCACACATATCGAATGCTATATTTCTTTTTTGTGACCATATCCTGTGGTTGGGAAGGGCTGGTCTCAGCGATGTACACTCCAAAAAGTGGTTTAATTTGAGCAATAAATACTGGCTATATTCTATAATCATGAATCTTGTTAAAAATTATTTTGAAATTAAACAGCTACTAGAAAGAAAAACGAATCTGAACATTCAATTCTTGATCAAACATCATAAAACACTGTTGTGTGACGTTATTAAAAACAGTTGTGATATTTTCATACCACTTACAGCTCTAGGATTTCTTAAATTTAGTCCTGGTTCTGTTGGATTGTTTGGAGTAGTTTCATCCATTGCTGGTATCTTATTATTACTAGATCAGTAATTTGGCACTTTTGTTATTGTTGAGTAATATTTGTTTACTATTAAATAAATACTTGTTTTGAATTATGTGCCGTTAAAGTTTCAATGAGCTATATATACCTCATATGTTTAAAAAAAATGCTACCTTAATTTTTTATTTTCATTACTACTCATAGATATATTTTCAAATGTTATTAAACAAACTTTCTTTGAAGGGAAGGAAAATTATTATAACTAAAAGTACTGCATCTTTTGTTGAACTTTTATATCTACTAGCCAGAAAGAAGTTAAAAGAGCAGTTTCATTCAAAATTCAAACTTTTTTGCCTTTACCTTATTTCTTTTTGATCATATTTATTGCATTTTTTTAAAACAGCAATACCATTGTGAGTTTACTCCGTGTTGTCCACGGATGAATCTGAAATTTGGTCGTTACCGAAATATTTCAGTCTGCCCAGTCTCATTGTGTTGGTATGTGAGACAACATGCAACAGTGATGGCAAAATGCCTAAAATACAGTGAAAAACCAATGCAGGAAGGATAGGCAGGCCGAAATTATTGGTAACAACCAAATTTCCGCAATACTATTTCTAAATCCTGTACAAAACATGTGGATTTATATTCTTATTATTAAAGCACTATAAATTAATGGTATCCGAATTGTACACTCAGTAAAAAAGTCTCTGAACACCTTCAGTGAAAAAGAACCTTTCAGAAATCTTTTAAATTAAAATAATGGGCTAAATTGATTTACAACACAATGTCTTGCAACTATAAACTTTCTTCAATGATAAAAACCATATAACATGTAATAGTAGTCAATACATAGAAATTAAACAATGAACATATATAGAGTTATACAATTCAAGCAAAAAATTTCTGAACACATTAGTTTTCATTTGGTTAATTACTGACACTTATTTAAATTTTATCTCAATAATATGTAGGTCCACCCTACTTTTTATTACAGCTAATAAATGGTTTTTCATTGATAGAACTAGCTTTTTTTTTATCAATGAAAAACTGTTTATTAACAGTAATAAAAAGTACACAAGTGCTAAATCGGGGGATAGAAGTGTCGGAGTATTGTGGGATTCTTGAATTTTCTAAGCCAGGTGTTTGGGGTCGTTGTCTTGCTGGAAATGAAAGTCTTTTCTATAACAAATTAATAATGCTTTTTCTTAAATTCTATTTTAGAATATAGATGTATGTATATATTGGCCCATTATCCCTTTGATTATGTGTAAATTGTCAACTAATCTATAGCCTATGCAGCCCAATCAAGCACCCCCATGTTTAACCATTGGTAGTGTATTTTTTAATTTCAAGTGTGTCCCTGGCTTACGCCTCACTTTTTTTCCATGTAATTTGCTCTCATTAATGAAAATAAGTCTCCTAAAATGCAAACTGGAGGCACATTTCTCTGTTATTCTTGCTTATGTAGAACTTTTTCTAGAATTGCATCTCAATCTTGGTTTTTAATAGTATTTCATACTGTCTGGAGCGTAACTGAAATATTATAATCCTGATACTGAATGCCTACAATTTTTGGGGCAATTGTTGAAGGGATGGTGGCTGCTTCTTTGAGAATGGCACACTTTTAGATGGTGTTTAATTTTTCTCGCCGGCCTAAACACAGTCTGTTTTCATCATTAACAAACTCCTTGTACAGGGAGATGATATAATGAATTGTTGAACGCCACATATTAAGTACATTTCCTTCACAAAATGATTTTCGTTCATTGTACAATCTAAAAATTACTTCCCAAGTGAACTGCGGTATTTCCATATTGAAGACTAATATTGTACTAAGCAAAATATGCTTGCTATTAAGATAATACCGCACAAAGAAAATGAAGAGCCAGGTTGTAGATAGTAAACTTTGGAAAATTAAAATATTTGCCTAGGTGTTCAGAAACTTTTTTTGCCTCTCGATTAGTGTATTCAAAGTTATTATGAAAACAAATAACCTTTAAATTAAATAATTTATTTTTTCTTAATGTTCAAAACCCTAAATAATATATTAAGAGTTACAAATATAATTTTTTATATACAACTTTATAATAAAAAAAATTTGGTGCTCATATTATGGGCAAACTAATAGGTGTTTTACTGAGTGAATATAAAGTTGATTAATTCGTTTTTCTTCTAATTTGGGATGTGTGATCATTTTGGGTAAGAGAAAACTATTTCATTTGGCTGATGTTTCCAAAAATTTATTTCCTTTCTCAAGGCAAAATGAAACCAATGATTTTGAATATTTCTCTGGTTTAAATTTTAAAACTTTATACATGAAGTTCCCTGAGTATTTTCTGTATTTTATGAAGTTAGGCCTACAGTGATTACACACCTTAAATCAAAAGTAAAAAACAATGTAATTAATCTTAACAGTCAGCACTTCTACTTATAAAGTTTATTTCAAAATTTCACTCTTGCATTTTTTTTCTTTCAATACTTAAGAGAAAGACAAAATTCCACCACAATTTTGTGTTATTCCACCACAATTTTTCTATGTGGTGACTAAACCAGTGTGCCTTATTGATTACAATAAAAAATGATTTTGTATTGATAAAAATAGTTGGTAGATAGATAACATATTATTTCTGAAAAGTTAAGGACCATGAATGATGAGATTGGCGTAGCTTGTTATTAGTAATGAACCTCTCATTCATGATATTTTAAAGGTAATTGGAATATATTGAAAACGCTGAATTTAGAGAAAGAATAAGTTATTACTACCAACTATAATAACACTGTCCATTATGTAAAAATGTAATCAGCATATGGTCTGCAAGTCTGACTGGGTCCATTATGTACATTCGTAGGTTTTGATATCTCTGAAACACTTAGCTTTGTGCCAATGTCAGAATTGTTTTCTTCTGCTATAATTGAAAGAAGTATTTCTTAATTTATCGTAGGGTTTGAAAGAACTCTAAACAGTAGAAAGTGTGGTGTGGTATGCAGTATATCAGGGTGAAATGATGTTGACTATACTGCAACAATAACAAATATTAATTATACTTCTTATTGTGAGTGCATGAAAGTTGATTTTATAAATAGTTACACTTTAATGAACAACTTAAAAGAAAGCTTTTACTTATATTATACATTATGTGGCTTTATGCCATATTAAGATTTTAGATTTTAAAACACAAATGTTAAGATATTTGTAATTTTATCATGTGAGTACGATGTGATGTCTCATTTCAGTTTGTATTTGTGATATTAATTATTTTTATACATTTGTACATAAAAAATGTTTGTTTTTGCCGTATTTTGTTATTTACATGATTTTAATTTTTTCCCACTGTACTAATTTACCTTTTCAGGCTACTTCTGAAATCATGTCTGTATTAGTAGAACTTGTAGTATAATCTTACATGAACTCAATTTACATTTGCTCTTCAAATATTTGGCTTTTTTTTCTTTTTGTCTTGTGTGAGGCAGGAGTTTTTGGATTTGGATTGTACAACATACAAACATGTGCTGAGTTGAGCCAATTCCGTTCTCGTAGTCCACCAGCAATTCCAGCTTTTGCTATTTACAGTAAATTGTCGGCAGATTCGAGTATCACCCACCCCAGGTGCCAGGGGTAGATCTCAGTCTTATGCGTTCAGCCACTGAGGTTTTGTGGCTGGGGGGTTGCTGTCAACAGCTAGGTTAATTCAGCACCCAACACATGCCGTTCAAACCCATTCGTACTCATGTTCATTCTTAAATACATTCATTCCTATTTACATACCATTCATTCAATTAAGGTAATACTTGATATTCCTCCATCACCCTTTACACATATATTATACAACTAACCTAATTGAGGGTTGATGGGGTACTCGATATTCCGCCATATACACTCACATCACACATTCACACTAATAAATACATTCTCTCTCAACACAAACTAGGTATACGCAACTATTATTACTATATACAATAGGACAACCCCGTTTCCTCCAAGAATGCGAACAGGGGACCCAATTACTCATTGCCTTGCTCAAGCAGAATTCTCATAGCGGGTAGCATTCCTACACACTCTCTGTATGGAGCCAAGGAATTGTACCCTTTGATTAAATGAGGCACATCGGGCAACCATTCTCTGCGGACACATATGCGGGCTTTGGCCCAAAACTATTTGGCATGTGCTTGGGGATGGGGTGATTCGAGACGATGGTGGCTCTGCCTACCTAGTCTGCACATACTCCCTCAGCACGTATACACATTACTCGAACTTATTTTTGGGCCTTCAAATTGCTTATCTTACCTGCATTAGATACTGTTATGATCTTAAACCAAATCCTATATTAATGTCTTCAGCAACATTCTAAAGATTTATAAGCTTAAAGTTTTTATATATATATATCTCCCAATCACATCCCTAGCCTTCAACACTCTCTAAACCTTTAGCCTTATACTTCAGAATTGCAGGGTCAAGACTATGGAATTTGCTGCCCCAGGAAGTAAATTCTGCTTCCTCATTCACTTATTTCAGATCCGCGGCATCTTGAGTTTTTAAAAACGACATGAATCATCTCCTTTTCTTCCCTCTTCCTTTTTTTTTTTTTTCCTGTTTCCTTTCTCTCTCTCTCTCTCTCTCTCTCTCTCTCTCTCTCTCTCTCTCTCTCTCTCTCTCTCTCTCTCTCTCTTCTCTTCATAATTTCATCATTTGATTATTAATGATTAATATTTTAAAGGATGTATTATTGTCATTATTGTTTTGTTGTTTTATTTACTATTATTTTATTATGGGTATTATCATTATTGCTGTTACTGTTATTTTACTATGTTTATAAAACTTAATTTATTTCTAATATAAGTACATGTAAGAGGGCTTAAATCCCTATTTGTACCGTTACATATAAATAAAATAAAAACATAGTTCTGCCATATAAACCCTACAATGCGGCAGGACTGAGCCCGAAGTGATTACACCCTCGCAATACATGGCACACGCCACACCTTTGTCTGTCTTAGACCCATATGTAAAGATGAGCCTAAAATCAGCATACATACTTCTAAGCTTCTAGAACTTAGCTTGGTAAAGGTATGGCGGAGTAGACAACTTGGCTAACATGGTGAGATCTTCCTGGATGAGTACGGCTGTGAGGACCCAGGGTTGAGTTGGCCAGTTGCCCAGTTCAAGTACCGTTCCAAGAGTTATCCCTGCCCTCCACAAGGCTTTACTGAAGCGTATAACAAGCCTCAAAGAACCGGGGCAATTAGCCTCAAAATCCAATATCCCAACATTTCCAAAGTATCACGTATCTCCACGTTGTATCTTCTGTAGGTCAAGGAATACAGCTAGAGCATGCTCTCTATTTGAGAGTAAAAAAGAGAAATTGAGTGAAGAAGGGGTGAGTGAGATTGAAAAAGAGAGAGAGAGAGAGAGAGAGAGAGAGTGAATGAATGAGAGTAAGAGAGAGGCAGCAAGTGNGCCTGGGTAGACTCGTACCCCATCCCTAAAAGGTCCGGGACTTGGTCGACTCACGTGTCCTGCATAAGTCTCTTGGACTTGTTCACAAACCCCAACATTTTGAACCATTTTATCTCGGGGAGTGATTTGGTGATGTCCTCTCCTTCAAAGATTTCAAATCTAGACCTAGCATACCTATCAGACTCTGCGAGGTAGTTTTACTTACTTTTATTTTGCAAAAACGGCAAAACGGATCTGGTAGAATACCCATTACGGAGAGGTGTCTTCTCAGTGGGCAGTGGCCCGTCAGAATACCTAATTCCCTTCCTTGAGTTAGAAAGTAGCCATTTCGATTCTACTGGTTTAATCACCTTAACAAACTCTTTTGATTGCCTGTGTCTGGGGGATAAATTCCACTCCTTCAGGAATTGTTTCATGCCCCAGTTATTAATACTCTTTTTCACTGTGCTCATAGAGTGTGATAATACCGGTTGTGGCCCGATAAACACAGTATTAGAGCCTTCTTTGGCCAGGCTATCTGTCTCTTCATTGCCACGGTGTCCTTTATGTGCTGGTATCCAAATAAGGGTTACCTTGTTCTCAAACCTGGAAGAGATCCTATTGATAAGATCTACGGTTTCCTCCGCCAATCTTGAGGTTGACAAATCTTTTTGTAATGACCTAAGACTAGCCTGACTGTCAGAAAAAATTCTAATATCTTTTCCCCTAATTTTATTTTCCATAAGTGTTCTACAACACACATTAATGGCCCAGATTTCCACCTGAAAAACGGAGATGTTATTGCCAAGAGGGCAGGAGATGCTGATACCTAATTTTGGTAAGTAGATTCCTGCACAGCTTCCTCTACCTTTGATAAGTGAACCATCTGTATAGCAGTCTTATATTGCGATGGTCATCATCCTCACTATAATTATATTCAGAAGGGGTGACTACTGAAAGTACCTGAAGGCATTTTAATCTTTTTATCACTAATGCTTAATAATTGGCCATTAACTTTACTCAAGTTGTGAGATTTTCGAGTGACCTATGTTGATGATTCGCTAATTAATCTGTAGCAGCTGATTAGTGCTCTGACCTTAACCTCAATGTGTAGTGGTGTGTTATTGGTTATGGTTTCAAGTGCTAGGGTGGGTGTAGTTGAAAATGCTCCTGTCACCATCAAATAGCCTAGTCTTTTAAATGACCTTAACTTGTTACTGTTCCCTTTATTTTCTAGACCTTTCTACCACACTAAAGCTGCGAAAAAGAATCTAGGTAGAATAATTTCAGTATGTAGCCATTTGGCTACCCATGGTTTACCGACAATTCTCCTACATTGTACCATTGATATAGTGCCTTTCCTGTATATGTTATTAATATGACCTTTCCAATCAAGTTTACTGTCAAGTGTCACACCAAGGAATTTGATTGAATCCACTAACTTTAATTCTATGCCCTGAAAATTAGGGTTTTTAAAATTACCTAATGTTCTTCTCCTACTAAACATTATCAATTCCAGTTTAGCTGGATTAATTGATAAACCTGTATCACAACACCATTCATAAAGCAATCCCATGGCGTTTTCCGTCAGTAGTGAAAGAGTCAGTGGACCCTACCTGTGAGCATTTGGTACCATCATCTGAAAATAATTGACTGTAGAAACCTGAATTGTTCAGAAGTTCTGTTGAACTGTTTACTGTAATTAACCAGAAAAAGATGTGACAAGCAGCCTCCCCTTGGACAGCCTCCTTTGACATTAATTCTAAGAGTGCTACCACCTAAGCACATATTGACCACCTCTACCACCACCCTCCAAGTAGGTCTTCACCCATCTAGTATAGTGATGGTCAACATTGTAATTATCTAGTGCTGATATAATGCAAAAAGTATCAGCATTATCAAACACCCCTTGGATATTGAAGAAGCAGCCTAGTGTCTATTCATTATTAAATAATGATTTCTCAATCCTGCCTATCAGTGAATGCAAAGCAGTTTCCACTGATTTTCCTGGTAAATAGGCATGCTGATTGGGATGTATCATTGTATTAATTCCACAATCATGTCTAATATATTTATCTAAAATTTTCTCTATAATTTTTATGAAAATAGAAGATATACTTATAGGTCTATAACATTTAGGTAATTGATATGAGGCCTTACCTGGTTTGGGTAAGAAAATTACCCTTATTTCCTTCCAGCATTTTGGTATATGTCCTAATGCCAGACTAGATCCCACACTGTACTAGATAGACTGGGTGTATCCTGTTGAAGGAGGGCAGAGAATATTCCATCTACCCCGGCTGCCTTGTATTTCTTGAAGGAATGTACCGCCCATTTGTAGCATCCCAAGAAATTACCTCACTGGCCTTATCCCAGTTTGGTGCTGGTAATTCATCCTCGGCTAGAATGGTGGAAGAGTCTGACCTGGGGATATAAATTCTAGCCAAAGCCAATGAGAGTAAGAGAGAGCAAGTTAGTGAATGATAGTAAGAGAGTGAGCAGAATGAGAGTAAGAAAGAGAAGGAGAGTGAAGAATGGGTGAGTGAGATTGAAAAAAAGAGAGAGTGAACGAGAGTAAGTGAGAGGGAGCATGTGCAAGTTAGTAATTAATAGTAAGAGAGTGAGCGAATGAGAGAGAGAGAGAGAGAGGGAGAGAGAGAGTGAGAGTGTGTGTGAGTTAGAAAGAGCGAGTGTGAGAGCATAGAAAGTGAATGAGAGAGAGAGAGAGAGAGAGAGAGAGAGAGAGTGACACCCGAATTATGGGTTTTAAAGACATAAGAGAGGAAATTTTTTAATTTATAGTGAATTGTTCTACTTTTTTTATGAATTGATACATTAATCTCTAGGTATAACGTAAACACCTATGTAAAGAGAAAGGTTGATTAACAGTATTAAAGCAATAACAAATAAAAAACCGCACCAACGTTTCTGGTTACCTGGTATGTCAAGTTAGAAACAGCTATCACAAATTAATAATGAATACTTGAAAATAACTCATAAGCAAGTAAAATAATAATTATGTAACATTTCATACATATAACTTACAAAGGAGTCATAAAACAATGCTTTTCGTGATCATAATTTAAACAAGCCATATGATCTACAATTTGTTTCCACATCTGAGAGCAATAAAGGTAAACTTTTTCATCCCCAAACTTTGGCAAAGGCTTACTAACACACAATTTTATTAAAACATTTATTAAAATTAAAACAAATTTTTTTACATTGATTTAACCTGAATGACCATATAATAGTGAACACCTATATTGAAAATGAAGTATTTTCTAATCGTTAATTGGAATTTATTTTTAAGATAATGTAATTTGTTCAAATGGTATTTTTTCAGTCTAAATGAAATAAAATGAGGCTAATAAACACTTATTGGAAATAATGTCACATCGATAATTTCAACTTGTCAAAATCAAAAAGTTAATAACTTTAACCAATAACAAAACACTTAGTACTATTTAACAATAATGGCTGTGATGTAACCACCAATCTTACACTACAGTTTATGTCTTATAATACCCTGAAGAGAACACTCTGGGGTAAATAACATTAAAAAACAGCTTATCACAATGCTATAACTACTTCTAAAAAAAAGCGTGTGCTAATTAAATGACTGGATAAATAGGTGAGTAAAATTTAGTATTACTTTAAATTTGTTTATTGGTAATAATTATAATACTCACAGCCACAAATTATCTCTCATTAATTAAATTCTAAAATTGTAGTAATTACAGATGTAGTTTTGAACACAATTTGGGTTATTCCACATTAAGCTTTATAGTAAAAATGTATAATCAATTATTTAAGTCATAATTGTAACTGAATCTTCAACAAAGTATTCAGTTCTTTAAAGTTATTATTATTTAAATTGATAATAATAATTTAATGAAGTATTATTTCAATAGTAAATTAGTATATACAAACATACTTATATACAAAATCTCATATCTGGTTTCAAAATACACCCATAATATAGAAAAATTGAACTTAACATTGCAGGTTTTCACAAATTTGAAACAATAATTAATTACTAACATTTATTCCTGTTGCTATTATATTTACAAAAGACACAAACGTAGAACACAATAAAAATGATTATAATTATGATTGACATTGATAACTCATATTCTACGATAAATAAAATTTATATATATATATCAAAAAAAATAAAATGTGTTTTACTGTCCTTTCACAGATATTTTACATTACTAAGCCATCGCCTATATTCCTTCTTGGCTGAGCCATTTCTTCTGGGAAATAGCTTGATAATGTTTCAAATAGATTTATTCTTATTTCGTGAATGCAGTCATTTTCATTATCAAATTTGCAGTCATGGAAAACAGACTCAATCAATTTGGGGAGCTGAAATTTTAGAAAAAAATTATTATTTTTTAATAGAATAAAATATTCTTCATTATTAGAAAACAGTTATTAAACTCAGAGAATCGAGGGCCAAACGATACATTTGTGTCCAGCATGTAGAGAAAGGATGCTTCAATGTGTCCCACCTAATTGAAGGGTGCAATTCCTAGGCTCTATATAGAGAGCGTGTAGGAATGCCGACCGATATGAGAATCGTGCTGTTCTGGTCCCCTGTTTGGAGGAATATACTACCCCAATATACTAATAATATTGTACATTTATTAATGATATGATGATATAATCCTCTGTTAGATTAGTTATATAATAATACGTGAAAAGGGTGATGGAGGAATATCGAGACTCCACCACACTAACTGAGTGCACAGCATGTAAATAGGAAAGAATGTATTTAAGAGTGAGTGAGAGTGTGATTTAGCAACTGATGGTGTTGGGTGCTAAATGACCTATCTGTAGCACCTGCAGCCCAACCTTGGAGGATGGGCGGATAAGAACAAGGTCTGACCCTGGACTACCAACACCCGAGGTAGGTGATTTTCGCTGCCTACTGGTAATTTACACAAGCTGGAATTACCAATGAACTGTGAGAAGTGATAGGCTCAACTCTGTGTTTATGTACATGTATGTGTGGATTTGAGCTTATATTAAATCAGTAATTAATTAACAAGGTTTGCATTAAAGCAGAATCATTATTTACATTTAGGATAATTAATGGGGGAACATAAGGGAACATCAGAATTTTGTAGGCTTATTACCTGAAGTTTTTCCAGTGAAACTGGAATTAAATAAATACATAAAGGTGAAGTGTTTTGTAAGAAACTAAGTTATTGCCTAATGACCCTAGGAAAACACAAGGTTACCATGGATTCCAGGACATGAAAATCTACAAAGACATGAATGAAAATGAAGGGGAAGTCCTCTTATCCATGGGACTGGAACCATAACTCGGTGTAGAAGAAAATTATAGACCTCCATACCAGTCCTCTTTAACTTTTTCAGTACTGATTTTTGGATGCTAAAACAGTTCTGCCAATAGTATCAAGCTTTCATTTTAAATTGCTCTTACTCCTTTTATGTTGCATTGATTCCGTTCAAAATTTGACCATACATTCCTTGAATATTATATTTTACAACAGAAATATGTAAACATTAAGCCTAGTACACACTGGGACCTTTGAGTCGATTCAGAATCTATGCTGATTAGATGCAATGTTCAGACTCAGCCCAGATTCAGTTCTAAGTGGATAATGATTGACCAAATGCTCTCTCAGGGATTTTGCTTGCCCTTTTTGTTTAATAAATAACAATCATAATTAAAAAAAAAAAATTAAAAACAGATGGTGGATAAGAAAAAAAGATTCATAGCCGAACCAAGAACACTTCATTGCCTTTTCATTCTTTGTGTTTACTTGAATTGGCCCTTCAAGGTGTGCAATTTATTTATTTCTTTAAATTTCTGCTAGATACTCCCAAGACGCACATGGGATTCTCCCTTGATGCAAGGAGTCGCCCCAGTGTGGACTAGGCTTTTAAGGAGATGGTGATGGATGGAGTTTACTAGTAAGCAGGGTTTATGCTCCCTACTCCCTAGGCACTGCAGCCTTCTGGCTTACTGTACCTTCTTAGTTCACTAGTTCAGTGCAATTGTCTCAATCCTTTTTCTCAGAAGCATTAGATCATTGACCGTCGCTGCTACAATTTCAATCCCTACATATTTTTTGTATACTAGATATATTTTTTTCTTTCCAAAAAGTAGATTGGGGATGAGGCCAGGAAGTCAGAAACAACATTTATTTTCTTGTCGAGCTTTCGGCAGAATATATCGCCTTCTGCCGGTACAACTTAAAACTTAAAACTGAGGCCACTTGGTAGACAAGAGGCGAAAAATTAAAAAAGACAACAGGTAGGTGGTTGAGAAGAGTAAAGGGTTAAAAAGGACAGGGGCGAGCGATAGACAAAAGTAGGACATTCCCAATGGGATGTAGATATTCACGGATGAATGGATTTCCTGAAAAAGGAATGCCGAAAAAGTTTGAGAGAGAGACCATATTGCAAACAGAATGGTGTGGGAAGTCTTCATTCACTACCGAGGTGTGTGCTACACATTGGATACAACCCCAATACATGCCGTGAGTGTCCAGCTGAGGCAAAAAAAAAAACATGAGGATGAGGTAACTCATCACTGGGCTTGGGGAGCATACACACCTGAATGAGATATCTCGCCACTAGTCCCAAAAAGGCTAACTACCATCTAAGGAAGATGGGCAAACCAGAGATAGAAAAATTTGGACTCTGTCAAGAGAAACAAGATACCTTGGTATATAATGTGTGAATGTGAGACACTAGCCCATATCGCAGAGAGTTTCACAATATACCTGTATAGGTCACAGTGTATTAAGTCGAAAAAAAGTCCCATTCCCCCTCCCAAAAAAGTAAATACATTTATATTTCCACATAGTATTAACAAGCACTAACCTTTTCTATTTCAACTTCGTTTTCTTGTTTTATCAAAACTGAGACTTCATTCTGAAGGAAAATTATTGCTTGAACTTTGTCTACATGTATTAACTCTTGAAATCTGTACAAGAAAAAGATTTAAAAATAAATAAAATTGTATAAAAATAGGTTAATATCATTATATGAATTTACTTTGTCTTTCTTATAATAAGTTTTAACTGAGCCAAAATTTCTTCATTTGTTGGACGGTTAAATGATAGTCTCCATAGATCATCAAGCCTTATTCTAGGCAGACGTAAAATTCCCGGATTACCACCAAACAAAAAATGTAGCTGAAAAAGAGGAAATTGTTTTCGTTTTATGAGATTGACCAATTGGCACATCAATATAAATTGATAATAAAATAACAAAAAATTAAGGAAAATTTAGAATCAACAATTCACAACAACAACGATTCATATCACACACAATATACTGTAAACACTATTAGAAACATTACATTATGTACTGTTCAACAGAAAATGATACTTCATACAAAAATAAACACAGTTTTGATAGAACAATTCTTAAAAAAAGAGGTTTCAATCCTTTGTCTGCACATGGGCAGTTGGACTACACCTTTATTTTAAAAAAAAATAAATAAAAAAAATCTAAGCTATAAGATAACTTTGATGTTTTGATATTATTTTAATATATATTGAGAATGTAAGAAATAGATCAATTATTAATAAGTATTGAACTGTGATGAAATGAAATGATAACAGTGGCTGGCTTCCTCCCTTATATCAACTTCTGTACTCCAAACAACCCAGTATGGGAAGACGCCAGGCTGCGCATGGTAGAGGAACTCACTGCACCTCCCACAACTGCAGATAGTGATGGGATACTTTCCAAATTACAGCATGAAAAGTGATACTAATGGGAAAATCCTCAGATTTCTCAAGAAAGAAAATGAAGACTTCCAAGTAGAGGCCTGGATGGTTGTACAAAGAAAAGAGGAGGACAAATTAGGAATCCTACCATGTCCATCGATCGTGGGTCAGCAGAGGCTATATAGAAAATGGACACGGTAAATTTCAGATTCAGTATGGCAAAACTGCATATCAAATCAAACAAGCAATACATTCAAGAAATGGACAAGCCTGCCTGCTCCTTTGAAGGGGTTGTAAAACAACCAGAGGAAGAAAGAACTACACCAAGTACATCAGGGGTGCAGAAAAAGGAGGCAATTCCAAAATTAAAAACCAGTACCTCAAAGGGGATAACATTCGAAAGAAGAAAAGAAGGATGATGGACAAAACAAGAAGGGAAGAAGAAGGAAATATAGACCTTCCCTTACCACAACAATCGCTTCTCGGCCTTTTGGCTAAGATCAAAGTGTACCACAACAAGATGTGGTAAAACTGGCCATCCCCACCTCCCCAAACAAGAACTTAGGGGGAAAATAATTGGGGGCGGAGGACAGAAATAAAATCCACAGCATTTGGAGGGCATCCAAGGCCATCTTGCACCATGCAAAGGCCGCGAGTGACGTCTTGCCCTGATCAAGGAACCATGGGTAAGTGAGGGCATGATAAAAGGGATACTATTAAATGCAGGTAAATTTGTTTACTGTAGGGATCATGATAAACCTAGAGCCAAATGTGAAGTTTTTATCTGTTTCAGATTATGCCACCAGGGACTTGGTTGGAGGGCAAATAGAAGGTCCATCCTGCTTTGGAATGGGTAAAATTATATGAGCATCAGCCTATTTCCCAGGGAAGGATATAGAAACACCTCCAAAGCAGGTAAAAAAGCTTGCCAAGCACTACAAAAACAACAATCTACATAACTGCCACTTCATATTGCGGTGTGATGCAAATGCACACCATACCAGCTGGGGCAGCACCGGTGAGTCTCTATTTACTTATTGACATTAAGACGCCCTAGACTATGCAATAAAAATTGGGGAATAAACCCAAAAATGGTGTATTGGTTATACACAATGTTTTACAAAAAATTGATGAACAACACACTAGCGAAGTCCATGCAATACAACTCTGAGCACAGGAGGTAATAAAGAAAAATATGAAAAGTGCATATACATATATATATATTTATATGCCTGCAGGCATAAATCCACTAAATGCGTATCCTTTTAACTCCAAACTTGTCTGGGAGTGCCTAAACTGCCTAATGACTCTGGGAAAAGAAATTAAAATTATCTTAAAGTGCGTTAAGAATGGTAAAATCGTAATGGAAGGCATAGAAGGAAATGAACAGGCTGACCAACTAGCCAAAAAAGGAGCAACCCTCTCACCAGAACGACAGATAATTACTACATAGTGTTTGCGTAAGTTGGAACTGGAAAAACGGATTGAGAAAGAAAAATTCAAACACTGAACAAATAGTTCAGGTATAAGGCAAGCTAAGAAATTTATAAAGCTCTCAAAATGGAAGGCGAAGGAACTCCTCTCTCTCTCTCAGCAAGCAGAATTTGAGGAGAAATATAGGCCTCTATACTGGCCACTGCCCTCTTAACAAGAGATGTAATCTTAAGATGGATAAAGCTGAGACGACGACAAGTCGGCTCTATGAATGTAAATTGTTAGCCTGTTAACAGCACAGCCACTTTAGCGGGATATTTCTCATACCAAAAGAGATCCACAAGAGGCACCAAGGAATGCGCTGTTTTATAAAGAATAGCGCACTTTCTTATCTTTTATATATANTATAGGGGTTCCACAACAGACTTGTTTAGGTCACAGTGGAGGAAAGAGCTGTCTTCTGCCTCAACTCCTCCCCTAAACCCTTGGACAAAAAGATGTTTGTACGGTTGGTTTTGGTCAATTTGGTCTACATATCTTCACTGTTTTGGCCTGTTAAGACACATTGCCGGCTTCAGTGCTAGGCGCCGAATTGTTTGCACCCTCTGTCCAGTAAAGCCTTTCATGGCATTTGACAAAGGCTAACTTCACATAAATGGTAGTACTAACTCACCTGCTTATATCCCTGATGCAGCATAGAAGATGGCGAGAATATAAGACTTTGGTGTCAGACTGACCAAAATAATTGGAAATGGCTAAAATACAGATACCCCAAAAAGGAAATCTCACAACTACTAAATTGATGTTTTAACAAATAAGATGTTTATAATGATAAAAGAACAAAATAAACCTATCATAAAAACAATATTTAAAAAAATATTGGATAGACGAAAATAAAATACCTTGTTAACTGAATCATACACAAGTTGATGTGCGAACCTGGGACAAGGTTCAATATATTGTTCACGGTGCCAATAAGCTGTAGCTACTTTAAGGCTGGTATACAAGCAAGTCCTAAAAATATTTTAATTCTCATGTAATTCATTATTTACTTAAGAACACAGTTAAAGATTTTGTAAATTAAAGATTAATGACAAAGTATTTTTTCTATATGCCATTAATTAAATAGAGCATTATTTTTATACAAAATATTGTCATGTATACGAAGCATTTCTTCTAAATGCATTCTTTTTAACTTACCACTCATCTTTGTTAATTGAATACGACCAAAAAGTGTTTTGCAGACTATTGTCCAATCTCTCCTTACTGAAACCCTAATAAACACAAAAAATAATGTTGGAAAAATTGTCAAATTTAATAACTATGAATACTTTTTTAGTTTTAAATAAGTAAAAAACATTTGTCTAAATAATTCAGCAATTTTTGCATTAGAGTTTACTAAATTAAGAAATGACTGTACAACAACTGTGTTGAGAGAAGTGTATAATCATATGCTAACTTTCGGGTTATCTGAGAACTTGAAACGCCCCATGGGTGTGAAACATGAAGTTTGATTTTTTTCAACAAAATATGTGATAGGGCTCTTATCCTCACCAGTGGCGATTGTCACGCCCATCTTTAAGGAGAGCAGGGGCCACGAGTTACAGATCGATATCCCTGACAGCCTGCTTGAACAAACTCCTGCAGTTCATGATCCAAATGACCTGTGATCTTGAGATGAAATGGGTTTATAGCCAGAATTAGGCAGGATTATGGAAGCATCATTCTGCTGTTGATTATACATGCCTTCTTGAGTCATATTTAGAATAAATCTCTTTATAAAAAAAAGCGTGCTCTGGCCTTGTTCTTAGGCCTCGAGAAAAAAATGATACGACGCAGCTATGTATTACTATGGAATTGCTGGAACATTGGATTCAGAGGCAAATTACTTTGCTTCCTTAAGGCTTTCCAAGTCAGACTGAGGTCTGTGTTCTCCAGGGGCAGAGGCTGGAGTCTTTCAGGGGTCAGTGATGAGCACACTTTTTTCCATTGTAGTGAACATTATCACTGTCAGGGCCCCCAGACCAATTAGATAATTACTAAACATCAATACGTCTGCTTTTACATTTAGCAAGACGTATTTATTAATGTGAATGTGTAGTATGAAAGGGCTGAAGGCAGAACTTCGACCTTCAATTAGATCAGTTATATGTGTAAAGGGTAGAGGATTATTATCGATTACTCACACACCTTACTTGAGTAATAATATAGAAATAGCAAAGAATAATGAGTGAGAATATGAGTGTGACTAGGTTTGAATGGAAATGTGGACCAAACTTACACCCCATTTTATTTTCTACACAATCGGAAAAACATTGCATCATAGAAATGATGAATGATGGAGTGAGTGCAGTGTTCAATCCTTTTTTAAAAAAACATAGTTCATAATCACAGTCAGTTGTTTTCCAACGATCCGGATTTCGAGCCCTTAGCTCATCATCAGGTTGAAGGATTTCTACAACCACGTCTCTCGACATGAATTGCAAAAGTGAATCCACCGATACGCCCGCCAACGCGACATTCCAATGAGAAGCTGGTTTTTTAATGGTGCTCAATTTGAACGTGCGAAAAGTGGGAATTATAACACAAGTAAATATTATAATAGTAAATACTGTAAGAAATTAATTATAAATTAGTAATTAAAGAAAAAAGATAAAAAATTAGAATAATACCTTAATATTATTAAATTATTATAAAAATAATAACAATTAAAATAATTAATTTAATTATTTGGACATTTAATATTATTTATGCACATATTTAAAATGGGAGGTAGATCAAAATCTATTATATTAGGTCTATTATATTAAAAAAAATATTAACAGATATAATGTCGTTTTAAAAATGATATAATAGACCTCTTAAATATATGCCTTAAATATCTAATTATTGTAAATTTAATAATAAATTTTACGAAATGAAAGGTTACCAATGGGGTCTCCATTATCCCCACTTTGTGCTGAAATATTCATGAATAATTTCGGAAAAAAATCTTTTCAAATCAAAGAACAAATTAATTAAATCTGTTCATTTCTGGAAACGCTATGTAGACGATATTTTATGCATATGGTTGGGAACATTAGAGGGTCTCACAGAATTCCTCCAACTAATTAATTCTCTACACCGTAATATAAATTTTACATTGGAAATTAACAAAGATGGTTGTTTGAACTTTTTAGACCTAAAATTATCCATAATAAACAACCTAATAAAATAGACGTATATAGAAAACCCACAACTACAGACACTATCATACCCCAGCGGGTTCTTTCCACCCACGGTCCCAAAAGGCTGTTGGTTTCATTTGGCTCATAGACCATATGTTAAAACTCCCATTAACACCCGCTAACTATAAAAAACAATTAGAAACTATTAAAACCTTAGCAAATCAATGGATATCAAGAAATATTTATTGATAGGTTGCTAGAAAAAATAATAAAAAAGTTGACTATAAAAGAAGCAACAATAGGACTCAACCACTCCACCATAAATGAATCATTAGGTTTCTGTTGTTTGCCATATATTGGTGAATTATCAAAAAAAGTAGGTAAAATTTTTAAACAAAAAGTTTTAGAGTAGCTTTTAGAAGTACGGGTTCACTTAAAAACATCCTCTCAAAACCTAAAGACAAGGTAAACAACTTGGCAAAAAGCGGGGTTTACCAATTCAATAGTAACGATTGTGATATTAAATATATAGGACAAAGCGGTAGAGAAATAAAGACGAGAGTAAAAGAACACTTGCCTAAATCGAACAAATTTTCAGAATTTAAGGACCATCTAAAAGAAACAAAACATAATTTCAATTCAAATTTAAATACAACAGTGTTACATAGTTTCAACAAAGGGAGAGAACTAGATTGGTTTGAGAAATTTGAAATTAAAAAATGTAAAATTGAACATGGTGATAAATGCATTAATAATATAACAAATTTTGATCTACCTCCCATTTTAAATATGTACATAAATAATATTAAACGTCCAAATAATTAAATTAATTATTTTAATTGTTATTATTTTTATAATAATTTAATAATATTAAGGTATCATTCTAATTTTTTATCTTTTATATTTAATCACTAATTTATAATTAATTTCTTGCAGTATTTACTATTATAATATTTCCTTGTGTTATAATTCCCACTTTTTGCACGTTCAAATTGAGCGCCATTAAAAAACCAGCTTCTCATTGGAACGTCGCATTGGCGGGGGTATCGGCGGATTCACTTTTGCAATTCATGTCGAGAGACGTGGTTGTAGAAATCCTTCAACCTGATGATGAGCTAAGGGCTTGAAATCCAGATTGTTGCAAAACAACTTACTGTGAGTAGGAACTATTTTTTTTTTAAAAGGTTTAAACAGTGCACCATATGTAACCTAACTCGTCCTTAACACACCTAACACAATCTAACCTACTAACCTAAACCTTCCAACCAAGCACACTGCCCAGTAACATACAAATGGTCATGTGAAAAAAACATCTATGTTAAAACTGCATGTATTTGAGTCTAAAATGATCTTGTTGTTGATAGCTCCTGGAACTTAACTTCCTAAGCAGGAGGCTGGAAAAGAACGAGATGGCAAAACACCTTAGTAGGTGATTTTAGCAGTTCAATCGTGTATATATGTGATGTATATACATGTATACATATGCATACAGCAGAGTTGTGCTTATAAAAATCAATCAACAACTATCCCATCCCCCATGTATGTGTGTGTTACTTTTTTTAGCCTATAGAAATTTTAATTGTTAATTTTTAAATATTTGACAATTGTAAAATCACTCACTGCTTAGTATATGTATGTATTGATTATATAAAATTTCAATTTTAATAATTACCGTCAAAACATAAATTTCATTTAAATTAGGATCAATTGTAGCTCGCTGAGTAAAACCTGATGCAGGAAAATTATTACAGAACTTGTGGCAGCCATCACTGATATACTCAAATTTCTTTGTGACAATATTGTAGGAAAAGAAATCATTTAGATACGTTTTATTTCTATGTCCTGCAAAAATGTATAGTTTGTCTGTAACCTGAAAAGAAATAGAATAAGTGCAAGTTAGTTAAAAAAAATTACTACACAACTAACATATGCGATAAATTTTAATTGATATAAACTTGCCGGATGAAAAAGCATTGAATGACCAATTCTAGATTTAATCACAGGAATTGGAGAGGGATCTTGAGATGCAACATCTTTACATAAATGAGTCCAAACATTATTAGTAATATCATAGCAATACATCCCTGAGTACAGTACATTATCATTTCCTGTTTCAATCTTGGTTGAATTATTTCTATCGTGCACAGAAGATTCTTGTCTATAAAAGTAAACAAAATATTAATGTAGTTGAATAATTATAGTAATAAAACAATATTTTACTACTCACTCCATGTCTGATGTCAATATACGGCCACCAAAAATGTAAAGAAATCTCTTATGAATATCTATACACATTTGATGGTCATAAATCAACTGTGGACCACCTTCAGCCTGAGTATCACTACTTATCAAACGCCAACGATTCTTATCTATATGGTAAACATAAAAGTCAGCCTAAAATCAATTAAAACTCAGTCAACTTTGATTTATTGGGCAATAAAATGCATCAGTACCTTCAAATTCTCTGTGTTGCGACTCTGCAGATCCAGATACCTGCCTAAAACATATATTTCTCTTCTTTCATAATCCAAACACATTTTGTGACAAGATCTAGGGCCAGGGCCTCCCTAAAATTATTACCGATCGAAAAATTTTAAAAGAAAAGAGGCTTGAAAAGGAATTGTCTCTTCATACTTTTTATTTTTGTAAATGAAAGATATAACAGAGCATGTTGATAACTTATTTAGCACACAAATATTGTATAACAAAATACTGTCTATTCAAAAATGGAAATCTAACATTAACAAACCTCAACACGAGTATCGTACGATACCATGTTCCACTTTTTATTGGCAATATCAAAGATCCATAGATCATTAATATCCTGGTATCCATCCCATCCCCCATGTAAATATATGTGACCACTTTTAATATCGACACACATCTGATGCCCCCCTCGCATACCAGGTCTTGGTTTTGTCAATTCCATGTTGACCCACGAAGGATAAAATACAAGAGTTGATAAGTGATTGTTGAACAAACCATCTAAAAAATAAGAAAATAACGTTCACTTCCAAATTTCATACATAAGTAGCACTTGGATTAAGTGCTTATTAGCAAGAGAAATTAAATATAAAAAATAAACACAATGCCTATTGTTTTTAAAAATTTAAATAATTTTTTTCACACAAGAGTTTGTAGGAAAATGTGTTATACTCACTGTTCGAGGCTCGGGTGATAAAATCTTCTACTTCATCATACAACCCCTCATTCACTAAATGGAACAACATTTCAAGAGATGGATGTTCAATTTTCATTTTAGATTCTTGTTCCAAACACCGAAATGTTTCTTTGAAATTCATGCTTCGGAGATATTTCATACATAATTTAATGGATTGTTCATCAGTATACTGAGGGGAAAAGAATCAATTAGGCCGGAATTATCAACTATAATATTATTATGTTTACATCAAGCAATATTAGTAAAAATGAAATTAAATGCATCAGAATGTTTAGTGTGCGTGTACTCTTCTACTATTGCATTATTCATTGCCGAAACCAAAATAGTAAGATAAATACATTATTTATGAGTCGTAGTATTATTTATGCATTATCTGATAAGGTCAATAAAATATTTAATTTCATTTGCACAATTTCCATTGCTTCTATGAGAGAGAAGAGAGAAAAAATACTTTATGCTGGGATGAAGGTCCCCTAAGAACAACAAGTTTACAGAAATTTGAACAAATCTGGCGCTTGAATTAATAAAGGTTTGTCATTAACATATAGTGGAATAAGTTGAAATAAATCACCTAATACAAAACCAAGGTTGAATATCAATAAACCGTTTAGCTCCAACTGTTTCTAACCAAGACATCGGAAGTAAAGGCTTTATTGGTATTCAAACTTTGATAATAGAGTTCACCACAAAAGTACACTGAACATCGAAAAAATCATTACCTGATACAAAATATAAAAATGGAAATAATAGTAGCAATAATAAAAATTTAGAGAAAAATGATAATAAAATAATACTTTGTCTTGTGCGAACATAATATTGGGTTGTCCGGAAAATAATGCAGGATTTTGGTATTAAACAAAAAAAAAAGAAACTAGTTACTTTAAAGCAATGTTCTTTAATCAAAATAATTTCCCATACTCTCAATACATTTCTCCCAACGTNATACAAATGAGTAATCCTGTAAACGTAAACAGAATATTTTATATAGATTTTTTTTAATGAAAACTTAAAATCCTGCATTATTTTCCGGACAACCCAATAGAAAAAAAGCTTTTCTTATGAAGCAAAAGGACTGGAGGCGGCTTTGCGGATTGGCAAAGGGAGATAATTCCCAGAGATTTGTGGCTTGAGCTAGAAAGGACTGTTCAAATGTGGAGGTTTTATGAGAGGGAGATAAAAGTCATTGTTAAACGAGCGGGTGTGAGAGAGGATAGTATATTTGATTTGGAGTAGTTGAAAAATAGAGCGAGATCGATGAGAGTTTATGGATTGGTGAAGGAAGGAGCCTAGGAAATACTTCCTACAGAAGGAGGGATAAAGCCAGGATAAATCTGTACAGGTGCGAGACTCTGAACATATGGGGGGAGGGAGAAAATAAATATGACACTACAATTCATCAATCTTTTCAGACGCTTATTTGTTCCTCTGAAAGTCCCTCATAAGTAACAGAGCTGCAATCGAAGAGAGGAAATTTGAGGGAGGAGACAAGGAGTTTACAATAGTAAATAGTAAGAGGAGCCATGACCAGTGGAATTGAATGATAGATGCAATACAGCATCGGGTAATTTGGGAAATGTGTGGTTTCCAGAAAAGGCTTTGGTCAACGAGGTTTTCAACAGTGGAAAAGAAGGAAATGGGCTGGTTGTAGATAGTGAAAGGAGGGTTGAGGGAGGGAGGGATTTGAGGATGTGACTGGATCCTGTAACAATGGCTTTGAACTTCCTTGGAAGGACTGATAAATCTAGGAGTCTTCATAGAGAGTGTTTTGAGTATACAATAAAAAAATAAGAAAAAACTGTATGAGCTAAAAAAATAAAAGAAATAAGACAAGACTAATATATCCTGTACCTTTCTCACACAATCCATAGCATGTTTTACAATGTCCCATTGATCAACACCTGTCAATTCAAATGAACAAATTGAATAATAAAGGGTTGGAGATGTTCCCCAACACTGCAGAGGAATAATTTTTATATAACGACAGGCGAAAGGATTTCCTCCAAGGGCATGTTTTAACATGAAAGCCTCTTCCTTATCCTCGCTGTTCAACGAACTACAAAACAATACATTGTATATATAAAAATTGTAATCACATTCAGAACCAAAAACCAGAACAAAAGTAAGACATACCCTTCAACTAATTCTATCATATTACAGACTGTAAGGCCACCGTATATTTTAAACCGACGTAGGCTACAGAGGTGACTTTTTCCAGTTTTTCCAAATGTTATTGCTTTAATGATAGCATGTTTTGATAATTTCAATAGAATTTCCTTAAAACAGTAATATGAAAAAAGTTTTTAGTAAAAATAATGTTTAAGAATTGTATAATTTGGTGCAAGTGGTGAGTTCAGATAGTTAATTCGTTGTATAATAAATACAATATAACATTTAATTTAACTAATACAAAATATATGAATATAAAATTTATGTGAAACATCCTCTCTTTAGTTTTCCATATTTAGAGATTTATAGTTTAAAATGTACACTGAATATAACGAGTTATAAAATTTCCTTAAGACAGTAATATGGAAAAAGCTTTTGGAAAAAATAATGTCTAAGTATTGTATAAAATGGTGCAAGTGGTTTCAGATAGTTAATTCATTGCAGAATAAATTTGTTATAACATTTAATGGTTTAATAATATATGTATATTAAATTTATGTGTAACATCCTCTCTTTAGTTTTCCATATTTAGAGATTTATAGTTTAAAATGTACACTGAGTAGTAGATGTATATAAAAACTTACTTTAGGGGTAACGTTTGACTCCAATCTTGATCCCCACATCTGATTTGAGCTTGAGCCATTGGTGAAAGGGCTAAAAATCAACACTTCATTAATATTTGTTGTAATAACTAAAAATTAATTGCTTTCAACAAACCGATTTTTTTATATTTTTAATTTTTTTTTTTTTAATTTAAGAACATATATTAGAACGTTCGTGTTTCTTCAGTTAGAAATTGGAATTGACTTAAATGTTAAGGCTCATCAATGATGTAACATGTAAAAACAATAAAAACTGGCTAAAAAAAACCAAACAAACAAATTTTTCCAAAAATATAAAATGGTATACATATTTTTTTAAATGATGAAGACGGAATGCTACAATTATTGAAGAAAGGAGTGAGACTTCATTAAGATGTTAATGATTGTACATAAAACAGAAATAATAAGAGAAAAGTATGGGGCGTCGGTGGCTGCAACGGTTTGGGTGTTGATGTGGCGCTCATCACTGTAAGGTAAAGGTCCCGGGTTCGAATCCAGCGGCCCTGCATTCGAACCCGACATACTTACGAATGGGCTTTTTTTTCAAAAACACCGGCACCCCGAGGGTTGATATAACCTCTAATGTTGCAAACCCTCATTACAACAAGACAAAAGTCTTAACATTAAAAAGCAATACAGAAATTTTATTTTCCCTAATAAATTGAATTGAAATAGACTGCTCAATTTAAGGACAAGTACAAACTGTTTTCTTTTTGTACAGATTTTTAATTTTTTTTTTAACAAAAAGGACAGTATAAACATGAAACTGAAACTTAGAAAGTATACATGGACTAGGCTGAAAACACTATGTACAATCAATTATTCAGTTACCCTCCCCCAGAAAAGTGTTACATTTATTCTATTCGAGATCTATTTAGAACAATTGCAACATACACATAACATATGGGGCTTTGGAGAGGCAAAACCCAGCTTTTGTGAATAGGAAGAAAACTTTGTTACAAAAAGTCAGCTCTGTACACTTCTAGACATAAAAAAACTTTCCAAAATAGTTTGAAAAGCTTCTACCTCACCTTCCCAATAGTCCTGCACTTTGTACCTTCAGACTACCACACATTACGATTGGGTGGCATAATCTTAATTACAGTTAATCTGAAAAGCAAATAAATGGAATAAGGTAAATAAGATAATAAAAAAAGACTTTAATATCCATAGTTTTCCTAACCACCCTTTATAATGCAACTCTCCATACAACTCACTTTCCAAATTTTCTGTAGTTCACTCAATCCCTAAACCTAACAAACTACACCATCTTACGAATTCCGACTGCCCCATCAGTTTAGTGCCATTTCTTGGTAAAATCCTTTATAAACAAATACATTCCGTCCTCGGATCCTTTGGTATAATCCCCAACCATCAATTTGGATTAAGCATCACCATTCCAGTGTTTAACATTGTCATCACATTGTTGACATCATCACATGCTCCCTTGAGAAGAAAGCATGTTGCTCGAGAATTTTTTGCAATGTTGAACTGACTTTTGATGAAGTCGGCACCTGGGTTTGCTATGAAAACTCAAGGGCAAAATACTTATACACAACTCGATACTGAAACCAATATGGACATACGGCACAGACCGAGCCAGCCACCAATATGGGGCTCAACCAAACCTTGCAGTCTCGACAGAATCCTTACTGTACACTCATGAATCCTTAGATCAATCGTTTCTAATCGCACCATCCAGAATGACTTAAATGTTCCCTTTTGAAATGAAGTTGCAAAATCCAGCTCCAAAAAATTATACACTAACCTCCAATCTCACTCTAAGTTTTGCCATTTCATCCATATAGCACCTTTAGCAACTGAGGAAAATCTTTTGTGAGTACTTTTTGATAGGGGATGCTGTCACTCATACACTCAATAAAAATGCCTTAGAACACCTACTGGTTTGCCCAAAATATGAGCTCCAAATTTTTTATTACGTCATTGCATTTAAAACATTATTTTTGTAAATCTTAATATATTATTTAAAGGCTTTTGAACATTAAAAAATGAATTATTTGATTTAAAGTTTTTTTGTTTTCATAACTTTGAGTACTCTTATCAAGAGACAAAAAAAGTTTCTGAACACTTTTGTTTTCCAAAGTTCTCTGTCCTCAGCCTGAATCTTTGTTTACTTTGTGCAATATTATCTTAATAGCAATCATATTTTGCTTATTTAGTACGATATTAGCCTTCAATATGGAAATACTGCAGTCAACTTTGGATGTAAGGTTAGATATACAATGAATGGAAATCATTTTGTGAAATAGGAAATGTCCTTAATAAGCGATCTTTGACAATTCATTAATCATCACCTGGTATAATGAGTTTGGTAATGCTGAGAACAGACTATGTTTAAGTCAAATTAAACACCATCTAAAAGTGTGCCATTCTCAAAGAAGTGTTCCAACAACAAGTGCCCCCGAAATTGCAGGTATTCTGTATCGGGATTATAATTAGAGCCTGGATTAGTATGCAATTTTCAATGTTTTTGCTAACACGACCATGGTGATTCAGACATTTATCCAAATCATACCTCTGTGGTAGAATGGTTCAAATTTTATTGTGCATATTTTTGCATATTTGAAGGGCGTTGCAAATTTGAAATATTTTTTATTCTGCTTTCAATTAACTTGCCAGGAACTAAGATGAAAACAATCTGACACAATTGAATTCTCTTGAAATGATCCAAAACAATGATTTTCAAAATTTCTAGATGCAGTTTTTGGCCTTTCTTGAAAAATGACTTTTTCTGAAGTAAGCAGGTTGTGGAAAAGGGCCTCATTTGAAACACAAAATAATCAGCCTCAGTCCAGAAGTTGGAATTTAACTTTTTGTAAAACATCGAAAAAATTGTGATAAATTTAAAAAATACAAATACCTGTATATATGGATTAAATAACTGTTAAAGTCATACAATATATTTGTAATGTAATTGAACAATTTGCTGATTTAATGCATGTATCTATAAGGCTTAGGGATTTTTCCAAAATATCTAGAAATAGCCATAGTGTGCCCAATACATGAGGCAAAAACTAAAGACCAATTTCACTTTTGCCTACATTATCCAAAATTTTTGAAGCTGGGATTAAACACTGGGCTTGCTATTGTTGACTTCATAAAGTACATACTAAATAGTTTTGAAGAGGGAAACTATACTATATCTACTTTTTCAAACTTGAGCAAAGCATTTGATTGCATTGGCATAGGGTCACTTATTGGATCTGTCTTCAGTTGTAGGTGTTTATTGAGTTATTCAAACCCACAAGCGAAGACATACCCAATAAATGAACCTATGCTGGTTCAGCATGAGTTCACAGATTCACAGGCCATTATTACACATCATCAACACAAAAACAATGCTAGTTGCCTATTATGCGACTTGTGATAGTAAAATAAGGTACACTATTTTGACCTAGGATAGCTCATCACATATGAACAAGATGAAGAAGAAGAAAGGCAGTAACAATAATCAGTGGGCTGTCATACAGACAGGATTGCAAAGACAAATTTAGAGTACATTGTATTTTGACAGTTCCCTCGATTTATATACTAGAATGTATCAAGTATGTTTAACTTAATTGAGATAATTTGGCTAAAACCAAAGAGTTCTCTTTGTATAAGACAAGAAACTGTGATAAATTAAGTGTTTCTTATAATAGAATTGAAATGAGTAGATTTAGTATAAATTACCACTGTACATTATTTTTACAAAAAATAAGAAGTTTCAAAAAATTGAATTTTAATGCATTTATAAAATAAAGCTTAAAAAGTTTTGATATAACACATGTTCTATAGTATATTGGAATTTTTAAACTTTGAGTTTTAACTTTAAAAACATTTTTTGTAATGTAAATACCAAATAAAATTGGTAATGTAGAAATTTTATTACAAGGAAAGCTAAAAAAATATCCTTTACAAAATACCTACTTGTTTGAAATGGGGAAAATTAATATTTTAAATATAAACAATAAATTATTTTATGTTTAGTGGTCATAACTGACCATATTAATTATTCAGTTATACCCAAGGCCTTAGATAAAAATAATTAATTGAAGTAAACAAAAGTTGTTTGTACAGGGAATTGATGATCCAGGTATGTAAATTTAAGTTTCTACAAGTATGGTTCCATCACCTTTGTTGACATTGAAAAGTCTTTTTCAAGGTAGATATATTTTTTGACCGATAATAGCGGAAGTCTTACAGAAACTAATTTTGAAATGTGTCTTCAGATCATGAACTTAATTAGGCTTAATTATTTATTTTGTGCTTTCTAAGTTATATATATATTTTTTTTGTGGTTCAGAATTTTCTGTCCTTTTCCTTCAAAAGGAATATGACAAAAAATAAAATATAGGTCTAGGTTAAAAAAATTAATTATTGGTCAAGTGATGACTCTAACAGTCATGCTGCTTCTTATTTTTAGTGCAAATTATACATCTGAGGATTATTGCATATAAATTGGGGTTTTACTTATAATATTTCAGTTACACCCCAAACAGTAGGGGGGGGGGGAAACCCACATTCAAAACTACAATTAAAAAACAATGCAATCCCAGAAAGAAGTCCTACATAAGCAAGAAGAACAGGGAAAAACGCCTTATGTTTGCTAAAGAGAATTTAAGTAAGCCTGATGCATTTTTGGAGGCTGTTAGGAGTAAGCCAGGGGAACACTTGAAATTAAAAATACACTACCGACAGTTAAACATGGTGGCTGTGAGGTGCTCATTTGAGGCTGCATGAGCTATAGATTAGTTTGCAATTGACATATAATCGTTATGATCATGGACAAAATATGTCTACTTCGATGTTCTAAAACAATGTTTAATGGAAAGATGACCAAACACATGACTCGGAAAATTCAAGAATGGCTGCTATACAGGGTGATTCACTAATCATACAACAAAGTATGTCAGGCGCTTCTACACCTCAAATACTACAAACAAAGGAACTGTACGCTATGGTACTTATTTTAGAAGTATTTATAAACAATAAATATTTAGGGTTGAAAAGAGAACTCATTACACTTTGCTTCTTCATACATTACATTTTATTTTAAGATAATAAATTTCCTTCCTTGCTACAGTTTCCCTACTGATCTGCAAGATGGCAGCATCATTAAAAAAAAAGAAGAAGAAAAGTGCCTGAACATGCCGCCCACCTTGAAAATATTTAATAAATTGATTCAATACAAACAAATAAATTGTAAAACAGCCGTAGTATATAAATTTCAAAATATTAATTAGTATTCAACATA